AAAAAAAAAAAAAAAAAAAAAAAAAAGAAAAAAACAAAGGACTCGCCGACGATTAGTTAGATTAATACTAAAGTAACTGTCGAAGGATCACGGTGATCGGACGATTAATAGAAAATCAGAGTGTGGTAGGAAAGGATTGAAACGACCAGCTCTCCCTCTGGCATGAAGCGCTTGGCTTGCTTTTCAGAGCCCTCCGACATCCCCCCGCTCTGGCTTAGTAAGCACGCAAACTTTAGGATTAGCAATGCAACAACAAGCAACGTTCATTAACACGGACAAGCCTCAACCGCCGCGACCAGAGTCCCGTAGCGATAGCTTTGCCCGCGCTGACGCTCTGTTGCGCGAGCATCGGCAGCTGCAGCAGCAGCAGCAACAGCAACAGCAACAGCAACAGCAACAGCAGCTGACGGCCGCCAGCAACAGCCACACGGACCAGAAACAATCGATCGGTCAGGATTTCGTCTCGACTCTGGCGCGAAACTCTCGGCCAGAGTCGCGGAATCGTGTCGTCGCTTGTCAGAGCGTCAGCAGAACCACGGTGACCAGCAACGACAGGAGCACCGACCACGTGGACGCGGGACTGTTGACCATGGTCGATCAGCAGTCGAACGCGCGGACAAGCGCGGACCCTCTCGTGAGCCTAATTCAATCACTGGCTGAGATTTCGCCTAGCTACTCGCCCCAATCGATGACTAACAACACCAAGTCAGACACGAACGATCATCATCACGCGAGCATCAACGCAGCAACCGCGACAACTGCGAGGAGCAACATTGTTAACATTAGCAGCACTAATTGCTCCCCTAACCAGTCGCCCAAAGCATGGCAGAATTGCACCCAGGTTTGTCCAGCCTCCTCCCGCAGGAATCCTCGTTGTAGCTCGATTTGCATTCAAGTAGCGTTTTTTTTTTTTTTTTTATTTTTTTCTCTTTTATTCTAATTTTACGTATCATCTGTGTGCGCTTTCGTTGTCTCATGGTTGTTTAGTCTTTTTTTTTTCTTTTTTTTTTTGTTTTTTAACAGTGAGAGGTTCAACCCTTTTCCAAAGACGTATGGTCCAACGCGGTTTAGTATTTGATATCTGCAGGTGAAATTTCATTCACTTGCTTGAAACGAAATCAAAATTCATGTACATTTGACAAGCGAATTTTTACTTTACTCTTAATCCAGCGGAATATCTCTTCGAATTCAGAAAAGGGTCGAAATGTCCTCGATCTCCCTCGAATCATAGATTATTCTATAGCTGTGTGAAAATGGCTTGACGCGCCTCGCTTTTGCGATCGAGCGTGCGACATTTGTGTCGGTCGTGCGTACGTTCATTTTCAATAACGCGAGCCGTGCAAACAGAGGGTGGAAAGTCGATGAAAATTTGCAGTCGCACAATGACTCGGCTTCATCGTGGACCGAGAGGAGCGTCAGTCCCGGAAGTGCGGTGGTCAGCAGCGCGTCGAGGCCGCAAACGCCGGCGTTCCCGGTTCATCCTCGAACACCGTACGTGAACAACTCCTCGCCGACGGTTACGTTTGCGGCTGATCGCTCCTACAGCACCAACGCCACCTACAACGTGAACAACAACAACAACAATATGAACAACGCGGAGCCAACCGGGAATAACAACAACAACGTCGGCAATTACGGCAGCGAACGAACGATCTACATCGAGGAACGAAGAGAAGTCTCGAAGGAGACGGGACTTCCACCCAAGAGTCCGACGACACAGAGGTGGGCAACCATATTTACTTACCTTTATTTTCTCAACGTTGTCGTGTTTTGTTCGCTGATAACAAACAATAATTGAATGTCGCGAGAGGCTCGATGAAAATCGAATTCGAATAGTAATTCGAGTAATTTGTTCATCCATTATCTGCCGTGATCAATTGAATCTGATCGATCAGTGAATCTACTTTTGAATTTCTACGCAATTTTCATTTTAACAAATGCAGGAAATGTAGGAAGATAAACTGACGCTGGATGTTGAATTTTTTTTTCTTTTTTTTTTTTTTTTTTTTTCTTTTAATAGAACAGGATTTTTCAGTTTTTTAATTGAGGATAGAGAGAATGAATTCTTTTTCTTTTCGACGAAGCACATTGCTGATGAGCAATGATTATGACGCAGAACGATATTGGTGATTCTAGACGCTTGAGTTTCCCGGCAAGCGGGCCACTTAAACAAACGCATAACAAACGATGGCCGCTCACTAACCAATCGGCGTCGTTCGACTATAGGTAATATTACCATTTGAGAGAATTGGAACGCGTGGCAAGTGACGAACTCGCGTTCCCCAACGATGGGAACGCGTTGATTTCGCCGATGAGTTGTGAATGTTTCATGTCGTGCCACTAACCGTTTGTGTCGATACACCTCCGCTGCAACTGCATCGTATTGTGACATTTAAAAGCATTCGAACTCCTCCGCGACACGGTTCGGGACAGAGGGTGAACAAATCGTTGAATAATAGTACACGTTCTTTAATCGTTCGAACTACAAAGAAGTAAACCTGCTGATGATTTTGTCCTTCATAAACGATACGACTATTATAGTTACAAAGACGACGTAACACGGTGGAAATATCAGAATTCCTGTCCAGGGGATTAGCATAGCAAAACTTTGATTAATAGAAGAATAGTTCGACGCGGTTGCAGCGACCGAGGTCTTGCAGATCAGCATCGTGAACAAAAAAAAAACGAAGAGCTAAAGAACACGCATTGTTCGTCGTGTGTGAGTGTGTGTATATTGCACTTGTCGGACTAACAAAAGCTCGAGCTTCTTGCATCGTGGACTTTGAAACTGTCATACTGTCATGCAACGAATGTACAAGCATCACCGAAGTAAAAAAAAAAAAAGAGGAATGAAAAAAGAAAAAAAAAGGAAAATGTGTGCCACGGGAAACTTGCGTAATAATTACTGGCTTCTTATTAATAATGAAAAGAAAGAAAAATAAAAAGAAAAAAGGAAAGAACGAAGGAGGAAACATTCGATGTCGCCAATTAACATGTACAATAACACGCGCACTATCATCCATCCAGTTACAAGAATTCTTTCCTTTGACAGTCGTTCGTGTATATAGACGTGTGTGTGTGAATTGTTAGTAGGATAAAAAAAAAAAAAAAAAAAAGATCGTAAGTCACCGGACATATTCGTGCAATCTCTTTCTTTCTGCCTGTGTTTCCTTTATCGATACTCCTCCTATCTGGCCCTCGATCTTTTCTTCGTTCTTGTATGTGTACCACGTTTCCAACGCTCTCTCACCACCACCCTGCACGAATCACCTGACACAACACACAAAATGTGTACACACACAAAGAAATCACGCGTCTGCCTGCACGCGGAGTAAAACGATCCCTCCTCGAAGTGCACATTGTAACGATGCGTGTGATTGCTTCCTTGTAGCAAGGACCGATCTGTTTCTCCGATAAACGAGCCGACGATGCAACAGTCGCAAGCTGTCTCGCGCAGCCCTGGTACTCCGACTCACATTGAATTTGCCCAAAGTCCCAAGGTACGTGCGGCAAAAAGTATTTGTAAAACGAATTTGCGAATTAATTTTTTTTTAATCGTTTGTTATTTGTCTCTGAGACGAATTATCGACGTGTATCATAGGATTGGTTTTCTTCTTTTCTAGAGCGCCACGTCGTATACATCCATAAACAGCGGTGGCCAGTCATCTCCTCAGGTCCAGTATTACGGTTCGAGACGGTCCAGCGTTCACTCGAACACCGAGCCGCAAGAAGTGGCCGATGCCAACGTGAAGTTTGTCCGCGACACCAGCAGGATCTGGTACAAGCCGAATATCTCTCGGGAGCAAGGTATGCGCTTCGTTCAAACTTCTCTCTTGGCGATAAAAATCGTGAAAATATATCAACTTTCGTTCTTGATCAATCTTTCGTACAGATTGCGAATAACGGAGAGCACGAATCTCTGCTTGGATTCTATTCCTTTAACTCTCTCTTTAACAGAGCCGTAATGAATTCTAGATGAAATTTGCGTAAATTCGATTGAATCAGAGTCCAGTAAATAGCATCCTTCTTTAAAAAAAGAAATCGAAATAAAGAAAGACTTCATTTTTCAGCAATCTCGATGCTGAAGGATGCAGCGCCAGGCACGTTCGTCGTTCGAGACAGCAACTCCTTCCCAGGAGCCTTTGGTCTCGCCCTGAAGGTAGCAACTCCACCTCCAAGTGCGCCAAGCAGTCCCAAAGACCCGTATAGCGAGCTGGTTAGGCACTTTTTGATCGAGCCTACCTCCAGAGGCGTCAGATTAAAGGGATGCGCCAACGAGCCAGTCTTCAGCTCGCTGTCTGCGTTGGTATATCAACACAGCTTGATGGCGATGGCTCTGCCTTGCCAGCTGTTGCTCCCAGAACCGGAAGCTGCAGCCAGAGCTCTCGATTCACCCGGGACGAATAGCACGCAGCAACTGCTCGCTCAGGGTGCAGGTAATTAATTCGAAAAATTTCACTCTCCGCTGGAAAAATTCCTGTTTTATCTTATCTTTCTCTGTGCGTTACGTCACGGTTTGTGATTTGTAATCTTTTGTATCTAGCCTGCAACGTTCTGTACCTGTTCACCATGGATACGGAGTCACTGACGGGTCCCCAAGCCATCAAGAAGGCAGTCACGACGATGTTCGAGCAGAAACCACTGCCCACCGCGACTATCGTTCATTTCAAAGTCTCGACGCAGGGAATAACTTTGACGGACAACGCCCGGAAGCTTTTCTTCCGCAGGCACTACCCCACGAACAATATCAGTTACTGCGGCTTAGACACGGAGGAACGCACTTGGGACTTTGCCAGCGAGGAAACTGGCCGGCCGCTCAGTGCCCAGTACGTTTTCCAAAATCAAATTTTCTTTCCTGTCTCGCGTTCGGAAACTGAATTATTAGAACTTAGTAAAATGTTAGATTAAATTAGAATTTTAGACTTTACTTTTTTGAAGTGTTCGGTTTACTTGTTAAAATTTATTTACGTTAGTTTACTTGTTGAACTACGTTTAAGTTTAATTAAAAATAAGGACGAAAAGGAGTGCGTTCTTCGAAGCTGAATTAACTCAAAAGTCGAAATTCAAATCAAATCGATTGAAGATAATAAAGTGACGATAACATCTGATGTCAATTTAGCAACTGAGGAGCTGGTCTCTAAAGATGTTCACTCTCTTTTCCAGCCGATGCTTCGGATTCGTGGCGAGAAAGCCGGCGCACAAATCGGACAACCAGTGCCACGTGTTCGCCGAGCTAGAACCAGAGCAGCCAGCCACGGCCATAGTGAATTTCGTGAACAAGGTCATGATGGGCAACTCCATAGCCAAGGCAAACATCGTGTAAATCGTTTAATTCGTCGCACGCATTCGTCCTCCGGAATGCTCGACTAACGGTTTCATCTTGGGAACTCGGTCGAAAGGAAGGCCGACGGGACTGAAACTGAGGCGAAAGAGATACGTCGGGACGGACGACAACGCAAGTCGAAGCTCGAGCTTCGTCTATTACGAAGCATGAAGTAGCATGAAGTAGCATGAAGCGTTCTAAGCAAAAATACACGTAGAAGTTTAACGAGAATAGAGGTTGAATCGTTATTGTTCTAAACGGTGAATGCGGTGTCCAATGCGAAATTGGATTGGGGGAGAGAAAACTCGATTCCATCCTCGGTGTCGGTAATCGCGCGTTACAGAAGAGAATGTTATTAATGACGATCGTTACTGCTGGTTATTATAACATTAGAGAGTAGTAGAGTAATATACAACTCGGAGCAAAGTACGAGAGACGCGATATCGCAACGTTCCCGTTGTGTTACCGTTCTAGAAGAACCACTCAGAGATTTGTCTTAAGAATTATTGCCACGATTGATCGTCTATGATTAACCATTTTCTACCAGTTTTTTACGTCCCGCAACAATCGACAATCGTCCCGCACATTAGTTACACGAAACCATCACCGATAGACAGAGAGAGAGAGAGAGAAAGGGAGAGAAAAAGAGAGAGAGAGCAACCTGTTGCACGGAATTTTCGTTTTCGATTAACGATTATATCGTATATTCGTTGCGATGGACGATTATACTTTGCTTCCAGCGGAAATTATTAAGCGATATACCAAGCGAACGTATACCGATAGCTGGTAGGTATAGCTGACGAGCCATCGACCGTGCTCCATGCGCGAATCTCGTCGAGGATCGTCGCGCATTCGAAGCGCAGACTCGAAGCGACGCGCGCGAATTTGCTGAAATTAGTATGCACGTATATTTGCACGCACGTCGATTTGCGGCAGAAAGATGTACGAAGGCGTGGTGAACACAAAAAGAAGAATAGTTGAATATCTATAGTAATACGTTATTAATCACGTTATACTTGGGACTCTCGAGTAATGTTTATCGAAGGGAATGTTACGTCGTTGCGGAGCCGTGCTTGTGTGCGTATCGTTGTGTGACGGCGATGTTCCGAAAGAACAGCAGCAGCGGTTTCGAATGGTAAAACGTTGCGAGTAAAACGTTCTATAAATAACTGTAAATAGGTCGAACGGGAAGGTACGAGGCAAAATCGTATCGGGAAGAGGATCGGTTCAGTTGTTCGCCGAATGTATGGATGAGGATGAAGATTCAAGAGGAAAAGAATGAAAGGAAAATCGAGTGAACTGAAGAAGAAAGAACGAATCGACTCTTCGACGCGTCAACGTGACGAAACAGAGATATAAACGATACTCGGAGAGGAGTAGCGTACCGAAACGAAACATCACATATTGTTTGACGAATCCCCGTAGGTTCTTGCCATTTAATCGTCCTCCGCGAGCCATGTTCGTCGTTCGTCGAACGGAGGCGATCGGCGAGGACGGCGATAAGCAGTCAATTATTGCGAATGAAGTGTTATATATAATTGCGACAATACCGTGCCACGAGGATCTACGATAAAAAAATAAACAGAGAAGGGAGGGAAGAACATTTATCGTATCCTCGACGTCGCGACAATTTCCTTTCTTTCTCCCTTCGTTTACTTTTTCACGCTGTTTTTTAACAGAAATCGAGAAGATCGGTCGGATTCTTTCTTACGAAGCCTCCTCTGTACGTCGTCCAACCGATTCTTATCTGTCTATCGAGATAACTGGAGAACGGTTGGAGATTGAGAGAGGTTTTTGTCGGACAAAACTGTGTGCTAGTCAAAATTCGATGTGTATACTCGAACGAACAGAGAATTCGATATATAGATATCTCGATCTTTGTGAAGAAAGAAAGAGAATAAATGCAAAACCATCCGATCTTTCTTCTCGGCGGCTCCTCTGTCTTATTCTTCGTTGTCTCGTCTCTTTATGTGTTTTCAATTTTTTTCTTTTTTTTTTTTTCTCGTACACGTGGAAAAATCTGACTAACAGAGTAACATTAATTTAACACCAGTCATTATTATAATTATTATTAATTATTATTACTTATTTACGCTCTATCATTACGTACGTTCACGGAATAATTGTATTGCTGCACGCCGGAACGGTGTGCCTCTTATAGTTGTAACGATAATAAAAACCATATTCGCAGCGCAATTGTTAGATGATCCATTCTTTCTCCAATTTTCAGATACACCGTTTTAGAACTATCTCGACGAGGGAGGAGATCAATTTCTTGCTTGTCTACATTCCCCTTTTCCCGAGTAAAATTCTTCTTGAGTAATTGTAAATAGATTAGAGCAACGTTGCTTCTCTGCTTGAAAAATAGGATAGTCCGTCAGACCTGACAAACGGAAATCTTCTCTAATCGATTCAAAATGAACGAAAGGAAAAGTTTCTGAAAAATGAAATTGACAATTTTCTTTGTATCTTCGCGTGTTTCGTTTGCAGAATGGGATTCAGCGAACGGACAACTATAGCAAATAGGAAATCGCTTGTCCATTACCGTTAACAGATTAAAATGGAATGAGACACGTCGTAAAGAAAAAAAATGAAGAACCGGATTCCTCTTGACTGCGATACATTTCTTTGATGCGACTTGCGAAGCAACAAAAGCTGTTCTCTTCGCCAATTTCTTCTAAACTCTTCGTCTAAAACTGCAAGAGACTTTTATATTTTGCGTTCAAATCGTTGGAAAGGTTCATGACATTTGCAAGATATTTATTACGAACTGCTGCGGAAATACTTAAACGCTGAATTGAAACGAATCATTTGAACATTAAGATCCAAGGCAATATTAAAATCCAGGATCGGTTGATAAAAAAAAAAACATTTCTCAATTTCAAAAATATTAAACGTTGCTCCTTCCATCTACCAAATCGGTATCGAAAAACAGGCAACCATAGAATTCTTCATTCATTTATCCTTCTTCCGTGCCAAAATAGAAATGGAATACTTCAGAATATCGCGATTGAGATCGTCCCGCGATTGAGAATAAATTCTTCGGCCAGGTAAATGAAGTCACGGTGAAAAAAACCGACGCGTGGGCAGCGTAATAAAACTCTAACGCTAATGAATAAAATACACGACCATTAAATACTCTCCCCTACGTCGAGAACGAGCCAATAGAATCACATTCCTCGCACTGACCTCAGGACCTTCGATCCACTATCGAAGCCGGGTCTTGGAAGTTCCCATAAGGAAGTCGAGTACTGAATACCATACAGAAATCCCGTAAGACGGGAGACCGTAAGGCAGCGCGCGATGAAATTGTCGTTTTTCACGGTACGAGCAACGACGAAAGAACTGGTTTCAGCCTCGAGCCGCGAGATCAGTCAACAAGAAGCCTCCGAGACGATCGCACATCCTGGCCTGATTCAGGCCGATCATGGCTGACGACTTCAAGTCGACCCTGTGCATCGTGTTCGTCGGTTTATCAGCGATCATCGCGGCGAATCGAGTCGCTGCTCGATCGCAGCGCGGCGATTTCGAATTCCCGACCGTGGCCAAATGCAATTGCTCGTCCACAGGAGGAGACGATGGGTCGTTCGACGAAGGAAATCGAGCAACGAGGTTCGTTCTTCGGAAGGACATTGTCTCTTGTAGCGAATTCGGCGTGCAAATAAATGGACGATCATGCAGTTTTACATTTTTATTGCAATGATGGATGTTTGTGCGTGTTTTCGTATTCCGGTGAATTTATTTGAATCTTCTTTAACCGCTTGCGCTGGCAATTGATTGCGGACCATAACGAGTGACCGAACCGTATGCAATAATTTTTTCGCTTTCTTTTCCTTTTAAACTCGTCGGTATACATGTCACTGGATAGAAATTGTTAAGAGATAATAAACTTATCATTTGTTTTGCCTGGGTTATATTTAAGTATACTTAAAATTGAGAAAATATTGCAATTTTGGGACAAAAAATTCTCAACGTGCGTGATTCACGTCATTCCAGCGCAAGAGGTTAAACACCCAGAAATTCGCTTCAATGTTTAGAGAAATCGCTAAAGAAATGGAAGCTAAATTTTGTAGATAATTTGTTGATATAAAAGTAGACACAAAAGTAGACGGACGTGGATGTTTTTTTTAGGTATCCGGACGAAGAGATCGCTGCATTTAACGAAACTGACAATGACTCTACGATCGACAACGAGAGTAGAGGATTTTCTCTGACGGATCTCGTCGAGTCGATGTTCTCTGCGGTAGCCAGCGGAATCGGCTCCATTGTCACTAGTATTATCGGCACCGAGAAGAATTTCAAGTCACGATCGTCGAGGGTTAGCTACAAGAATCATCAGCTGATTAGATTGTATCCGAATTCGCAAGGACACGTGAACGATCTGAAAGAGCTCAAGGAATCTGAACCCGAAGACGTTAAATTCTGGACCGAGCCAATGTACAACAGGTCCGTGTTCTTTATTCGCACTAACGTCTCTTAAGTGATTCGGTTGACTGATTGATAAAATTGGTAAATTTCAGAACAACAGACGTGGTTGTCGGACCAGATCTTGTCTCTGACTTCAAAGTATTTCTCAGTGATAAAGGAATCGATTTCAAAGTGCTGATACCGGATCTCCAGGTACGAGATGCCACAGATAGAATATTTAAATAGAATATAAGTTTAATTTACTCTTTAATTGCTTCTTTCTTTTTTTTTTTTTTTTTTTTTTTGATAGAAAACTATAGCGTATCAGAATCCAAAAATGACGAAGGAGCAACGCAACGATCTCGTGACGACTAACGGGCACAGTATGACTTGGAAACGGTATCATCGATACGGAGGTAAATAGGAGGCTTCTGTGTAACAGATTTATTCAACACTATATCTAATCTATCTTTTGCTGTCTATAAAATTCGCATTTTCGAATCGTCAATTGGTTGCCAATATCGACTCGAGATAAGGCTAACAAAGTATCTTTGTAACTATTCAAAGATGCGTGCAAAGTTCCATGAAAAATGTTCTATTATTTTATTAATAAAAAAACAGGCTAGATGAATATCGAGATGTTTCTTCCAGAGATCGTCAAATATTTGGAATATTTAGCATTAAGATACCCAAGCGTAGCTGAAGTGATAACTATAGGGCACAGTTACGAAGGCCAACCTATAAAGATGATAAAAATCTCAACCGGAACGAATAAAGGGGGCGAAGCTAAGCCAGCGATCTGGATAGATGCTGGTGAGTTTCCTTAACATTTTCTTCTCGGCGAGTTGAACTATAGTCGAATTATATTCTGATACATTTTAATTTTTTTGACATCTTTCTGGAGTCGGATCTTTCTGGAAGCATAGTACGTACGAACGATGTTGTAACATTATTGATCGATATAGAGTAAAATGTTATAGCAATTGTATAATAAATGCAGAATGTTGTAAAAAAACATTTCTCGAATTCAGTGACAGTCAATTCCTTTGCAATCAATTCTATCTTCGAGTGCATGATATTAAACGTGATAATTGATAATCGTATCAGCTCGTTTGCTTGCCGTAAATCCAGCAGAAGTTGCATCAGACACTTTACTTGACTCAGAAAAGTGTAACGATCGTATCGATCGAATCCATATCTTCACAACTGGTGAAAACAGTTATTCCCAAACGGATCAGCGTTAAATTAAGGATAGAATCGTTTCATTGATGGAAACGTTCTCTTATCAAACCTCGCTCGTACGTTTGTCACTTTATTCGAATAGTTTCAAGAATCATAAAAACGTTGGGTATAAATTTTAGAAAGAAGAAACTATGATATCGTGATAGCTGGAAATAGTTGGAAATTTATAATCGATGAACCGCTTCCTTTTGTAAATTTGTCGTCTCAATATATCTTTTGATGAGCCTAGAATTTCCATTCTCGTTTTACGTGATCCTGTCCCGTTATCCCATTTTTTTTCTTCTTTCTCTCTCTCTCTCTCTCTCTTTCGAATTGTCCTCACATTCGGCAGGCATGCACGCACGGGAATGGATCGGCTCCGCTGTGGCGACCTACATCGTCAGCCAGTTGGTCGAGAAGAACTCGAGTTATGCTAAACTGCTCGACAATACGGACTGGATGATTCTGCCGGTCGTAAATCCGGATGGCTACGAGTTCAGTCACACCGGCGACAGATTGTGGAGGAAGACGAGGAGCAATCACGCAGAGGATCAAGACGACAGTCGGTACGATCGGGATCTTCTATCCTTATTCGATCTCGTTCTTTAACCCTTCAAGCAAGGGTTATTTATGTGTTTCTTGAAACGTAGAGGGAAGAAGTGATCGACTCTTGTACGAAGTGTGAATTTTCTTATCAGGTTTCTTCAGTTGGTGAATCATTATACGAGGTGGCTGTGGGGTAAGTGCGAGGGTGTCGATCCGAATAGAAACTTCGACTACCATTGGGGCGAGGTGGAGGCGGGTGGTGCGAGTTTGGACCCCTGCCACGAGACTTACGCCGGTCCACGCGCGTTCTCCGAACCGGAAACGAAGGCAATGGCCGATTATATTTTAGCTAATAAACAGAACATCAGGTAGGTAGATGCGTAAGGTAATCTATATAAAAGAAAAGAAATTATAAATTAATTTCTGAAACTGCGTGTCGAGAGGTAGCAATTTTCGAAACTCTGCACACGTTCGACAATAGAATTTATTCTTTTGAAAAAAAATCTGTCATTTGATAAAATTGAATTAGTCGTATCTTGTTCACATAGAATGTAGAAATACAAGTCCTTACAAAAAAAGGAATATGTCTTTTGAAAATTTCACGTATCCACTTTTGCAAACTTTTTAGCAGAAATTCATTCAATTTAATCGAAATTTGACGGATAGCGTATGGTGATCATGCTTTTAGGGTTTACCTGACGTTGCACTCGTACTCGCAGATGTGGCTAGTGCCATGGGGATACACGTACACGAAACCGTTAGATTACTCCGAATTAGCGAGCGTAGCTAAGAAAGCGATTGGCGCAGTCACGAAGATACACGGGACCAATTATCAAGTTGGCCCATCGGCTGATTTGTTGTACCCAACTTCAGGTACCATTCTACGAAAGTCGATATTAAACAGACAGAGAAGTCGATATCAAACAAACGATCGCAATGGTTTTCGTTTGATAATGTTTGACAATTAACGAGGCATGAAGCACTCTCCTCTCACGTGCTGGTAAATTAATTAAGCCGACAAGTAGCCTGATAAGCGGACTGTTGAACATCAATAACTGTGAGGCAAAATGAAATCATTTTTTAAGATATGGGAACGAGAATGACGCTCATATTTACAGAAACAGTTATTTGTATTGAATCGTATCGAATGTGATGACGTTAGTATTCTCTGTCGTATCGAATTTCAATGATGACGTTAGTATTCTCTTCTCTTCTGGAATTGCAAAGCGTAGATTTGAACGAACGATTCGACGATTATAGAATTTTGAATTTATTCGTATAACAAACTAAAATATGTACTGCAGTTCACGAAGGTATTATTAATACCTGCTTTAAAAAAAAAATGTTACATCCGTTTATCTAATAATGCTGTTCTTTGCAATTCCAAGAAGACCTCAAAGTGTTTCGTACAACGTTAAAAATTAAAAAAATAATTTTCTATTTGTAAACGACTTTCACAAACGTTCGAACATTTTCGTGAGCTGCCGCGCGTGAAAAAAATTCGAACATGCTCGACTCTGATGTAATACTTAGTAAATTTCAGGTGCTTCCGACGACTGGGCCAAGGGTGTAGCCGGGATAAAATACGCCTACACGCTGGAACTTCGAGATCGCGGCAGGTACGGGTTCCTATTGCCAGCGTCGCAGATCGTGCCGACCGCTCGCGAAATTTGGGCAGGAGTAAAAACGATCGCTCGTCTAGTCAATTGAAACGCCTGAAATCGATTTCAAACGAGCGAAATTATCAGCAGGTTGTATATTTGCAACGATTTCAGAGATTTTTCAATCAGTATCGACGAAAGAATCTGTCTATAATTGGAGATAATTCGGCCCGATAATCGCAGTATCGGTCGAGACAGGAGATAATCTCCTCTTTGCTTTCTATTACGAAAATTATCTGAAGTGCGTCGATCGAGAAAATCGAAATACTGCTCTCGAACTTTGAAACTTAATGGCAGAATTTTGTCATTTTGAATTTTATATACGACTTTTGTTATATATCTCGTATAGTAGATAATCGCGCGCGAATTTTAACAACGACATGTAAATAGTGCGTAAAATGCACGGTAAAGTGCGAGAGTCACAGTACAAGATTCGATCAAGCTGAATTGATTCATGTAAAGTGTAATGTGCTTTGAATGGGGTTTGGCAAGCTGTAAAGTAATGAGTAAATAAATGAATTTGAAAGCAGCTACATTGTGATTCACTTGATAACACACACCCCAGGATTTTGATTATTAATTGATTTTTCTATCGTATTCGTATAATGTATGTACAACAATTTCTTGACGATTGAAACGCTCAATCTCGATATTAACCGCTTACGAAACAATGATGAGCTGTTATCAATCTGTGTCTAATGAAAAAGAGGAAAAGATCAATGAGAGAAGATAAGAATAGAAATACGGAAGGAGGTAACCTTGCAAAAATGCAATTGTGATTTAGCAATAATCAATGTATTCGTCAGAAGTGTACACTCCATTTAATGAAAACACGCCTTATATAAAAATAACATCGAGTGGATCCGTTATCGATTACAATTTAGAATTATCGCCAGATATTAATCTGCAGCATCGTATATAAATCGTTATTTCCACGAAACTTCTCAAGTTGTGCCCTGATAGTCGTACAACCATGTTCATCAAGAGTATTCTTGCCTCTCTTCTCGTGCTCCAGGGTAAGCGAACTGTACCTCGATTCTTATTCATCTTATTTGACCAAGATTTTGCTCAAGGTGTACAAACTACATTTCTTTCTTTTTCTTTTTTCAATAAATTCTTGTAAAATATTAGAAATGATTTTGGCGCGCACAATTAAAATTTACTAGAACAGTTAGAAGAGGGACAAGTTTTTAGTTGCAATTCGAAGAAAATATAAAGGAAATGTTGAGGGTGAAGAAGGTAGCAATTTTTTTTGAAAATTTAATAACGATTACAGAACTAAAGTAATTACGAAAGAGCTAAAGTGACTTGGTCTGAGCACGATTGATAGAAAACGTTTCGACTATTTAATTTTATAAGAGTTGTTAGAGTTGAAATGAACAAAGTCGATATAATTAATTGAAGATTAAATAATTAAATGTAATTAAAAATTAAATAATATTAAAATAAAATATCGAAATAATATTAAAATAAAAGTCGATAATATCCTCTAAACTCGCATTATCGTGATACTTTTTCTTTTTTTTTTAAGTAGAATGAGAAGATGAGTCAGTCAGTGCAAAGACGAATACACGCTTTTAAAAATTTAAGCGACATTTAAACAGGTTTCACCGTATGATGGTGAACAAGAGCCGTTCAACTCTGTCGTCTACAATTTCTTCTTATCTCTTACCAAAAAAAATTCGAGATATAACCCGTTCCAATTACGTGGACTACTCGCACTATTTAAATATTGACTTACATTAAATATTTTATAGTTTGCTGGGCCGTCCCCACCGGTAACCTACATCCCCGTATCACCGATGGTGTCGCGGCCTCCCGAGGCGAATTTCCGTACCAAGTTTCCATCCAATATGGACAGCCACCCCTAGTTAAATTCAGCCACTCGTGCGGTGGTTCCATCCTGAACGAAAGGACTATCTTAACCGCTGGCCATTGTATCCTGAATAACAGAAAAGTCAGAGTCGTCGTTGGCAAATACGAATTGAACGCGGAGGAATCCACTCAACAAGTAGTGAATGTTGCCAGAAGCGTCGTTCACAGTGGATACAAAGGGTAAGTAATTAGTTGAGAATTATTAATTAGCCACATTTGGAATTCTTTGAAAGATCATCGTTCTTCAATTACTTTCAAAGATTCATGTGTGTGTGTGTGTGTATATATATATATATATATATATATATCTTTTTATATACCTTATTTCATTTATTTGTCATTTTGTTATTTTACTGCCTTAGTGTAATTACAACAATTGAGGAAATAAAGTTCCACGACACTGATCTTCCTGTTCTTTCTCTCTGATACTTTCGTATTTTAAAAAATTCTTAAAAAGTGAACTGAAAAGAGTTTAACTGAAAGACTTTCTTCGTCATATCTTCTACTCGTTCGTCAATCTATTTTCGGAATTTTCTATGTTTCAATAGCAAGATGAGATAAGAGACGAGTGGGAAGAAACGTTTCGATCGACCGACTGTTTTTGAAGCAAATAAACATTCATATCGCTTGTCTAACTGACATAAATTCCTTTTGTGATTTTAGTGGCGTCGCGCAACACGACATTGCTCTGATGTTCCTGAGCACTCCCTTGAAACTGAACAACGCGGTCCAACCCATCAGTCTGCCTACGCAAGGACAAAAACAAACTGGCCAAGCTGTTCTTTCCGGATGGGGATCAACCTCGAAGTCCATGTTTCCTAGCATGCCGAAAGTTCTTCAAAAGGCTCTCGTACCCATCCTCGATAACGCCGACTGTTACAAACAGCTCACGTCTCAACCTGTCTCCGGACAGAAACCTGAACTGTTCGATACCCAGGTCTGCTCTGGAATCGCTGGCAAGGAAGTGTCTGCTTGCTCTGTAAGTGTATCTCGTTATTATTTCTTAATTATTCTACGCGTTCAACTACAAAGGTTTTCAGTTAACTTTTGCTAGTGAAAATGGAATTGTGTTTAACTTTCTTGAAATAGGATCAAAATGATCACAGTGATATGGAGGATGAGGATAGAAATGATAAAGCAGACTGAGAAATTAGTCGAAGATTTCTCAGGAGGTGAAAAGAGGTGTTGAACATTTTTGATTGAAAGAGAAAAATAGATGAGCAAATGATCGTGTGTGAAGAAAGAGAGTTACTGAAGTAGAGCAATGTTTTTCTTTTTAGACAAAAGATCGATGCATTTCTTTGATTTGTTTGCAGGGTGACTCTGGTGGCCCACTCGCCCAAAACATTGGTGGAAAACATGTACAAGTTGGTATCGTTTCATGGGGTATGATGCCATGTGGATCTAGCCACATGCCTTCCGTGTACACACGTGTCTCGTCCTACATTGACTGGATCCACTCCCACCTATAATAAATTTCGTTTCGACCCTGTGCTCTCGATTCTCCTCGAATATTCGACAACAATGTTGAGAACAAATAATACCAAAACAAAAAAATAAATAAGCAAATAATACCCCAAAAAATACCCTGTAAAAGATATACATTTTTTTGATTAAAGAAATTAAAGAAAAGTTGATTTTTCAAACCGGAAATTTAATCCAACCTTGTTTGCAAGATGTAACGATCGATAAGGAACGATCGATCAGACGTTACAAATTTCTCGTGAATGACAGATTGTAGGTACAAGTGTTGAAATATTTGACGATTATACACAAAATCTTATCTAAACATGTTAAAATGACGAAATCAAGGGAGTGATTATACCGAAAGCAGCAGGAATGAGAGTGTACAAGATTCATGATCATTTCGATTCTCTTTTATTGTACAAGAGCACGAAGAAAAAGTTAAAATTTTTAATGAAATGAAAAACAGAAAATAATATTTCAAAATCCACGTGCCACTTTGTCGATAATCGTAATTAACGCGGTTGATCTGCAATTGTCAGTAAAATCCTGTGCAAAACATTGACAAAGGGGACAAATATTTCGTACAATTGAAACTTTTATATTAGAATTGCAATGATTAGGATTAGTGATATTCCTATTGATATAACAGTTTGGTAAAAGTTACACCGTTATCTGACATTTGTTTCACAATCAAAAAGAAGATATCTGCCGTGCACAAAACTGATAAACAACCGTTCAAAAAAAATAAATTTCTTAGAAAATCTTTTATGCTTATAGTTATATGTTCTTGTTTTTTTTACCGTACTTGATAACGACGTCCGTATATATTCTTTGATCGAAAGAAAACGCAGTAAATGGTCAAAATGTCTCTCAAAGTGGTCATTTTCGTCGCTGTACTCGCAGCCATTGTCAATGGTAAGTGAACTTTCAACGTAGATCAGTGATAATCGCCGAAGTTTCTTCACGTTCAACTTCGAAAGTTTCTGAAAAAAAAATTAATTGATGTTTAGAAAGAAAACTTAAACTTTGTTTTTAAAATTAAATGATTCCTTCCCACTTACAGCGAAACCGTATCGCGGTTATGTCGTGCCACTGTACGACAAGAATATAGTCGCAGGACATGAATCTAATCCAGGACAATATCCGTGGCAAGTCTCTTTGCAATGGGGCTTGCCTTCGTCTGGCTACATTCATTTCTGCAGCGGAGCTATTCTCAGCCATCACTGGATAGTCACGGCCGGCCACTGTGTTCTAGCTGTTCCAGCTTACGGTGATTTCATCGTTAAAACTGGAAAGCACAACTTGGGGGCGGTGGAAAATAGTGAACAAACTATTCAGGTCGCAAAGTCCATTATACACGATAATTATGTCGGGTAATTATTTGTCACGTGTCCTACCTTGTCACCTGTTTTTTTTTTTATAAATTTATGAACTATTTCTAGTCACTTCATATTTTATCTTCTTCTATTTAAATCTCGACGTGTAAGGAAATAATGACTCGGTGACAAGAAATGTAATAATTAGTAAGCGAGTCGATTCCTTAATTGCATTTGAATTCACTAGAAATTTCTCTGATTGTGCTTCATCATCGAGCCATTTTCTATAAACCTCGAATACATTTGTGAAAATTTCAGGGACATAGCTCCGTATGACATCGCGTTGTTGAAGCTTGCGAAACCTTTGATACTGACCAGCACAATTAGAAAGATTGATCTTCCGCAATCGTTGGTAGCAAGGAACACGATAGTAACCCTGACTGGTTGGGCATCAACGTTGAAAGCTATTACTCCAGTTTTGTCTAACAGGCTTCAAGTTGCCGAGTTGCCAATTGTCGATTACCCGACTTGCAAAAAGGCCATAGACAACCTTACTGGTACTCCATCACCTGTGGATTCGAGGACCATTTGCACCGGGCCGCTCACCGATAGCTTGTCAGCCTGTAGTGTGAGTAATCGAACACTTTTACGTTCATCCAGTTTCTTTCAACTTCGGTTGAACTAAAGGTTCGTTCGTGGTGAACCTAAAACCATTTATTATATTTGGATATTTGTGAGAATCTTTGTGAACGAATTGATTTTTGGTTGAATTGGATATTCAAATGAAGATATTTGTTGCTCGATTACCGCCGAATTTTATCTATTATTTAAGAGTGATTCTGGAAGTCCGTTGGTCGTGAACGCGACGTACATGCCTCAGCTCGTTGGGATCTATACCTGGGGACTTATTCCTTGTGGAACCGTGGCTGCACCATCAGTATACACCAACGTGTATTCATTCGTCGATTGGATTAATAACACCATAGCTGCGAACTAGTGAATAAGTGTGCCAAAAAGTCATGTACGAGTATACGAAAAGTATGAAATGAAAAAGTAAAATGTAAATGCTCAATGCAAGTTATGTATAAATGTACGAAAAGAAGAAATAAATAATTCAAGCTTGACAGTTTTCTTAAAGACACCGCCCCATGAAATATCAGTTGGAAATAATAAATAAACTCATGCGTAAAACAGCGAAGAGAATGTAACAGTAAGATATAAGTGTGCGAACAAAACTAAAAGTAGAATGGGCAAATTGTCAAAGTCAACTAATCAAACATTTGATAGCTTCCTTAGGAGTGCTCGCTTGCGAGTCCAAAACTCCCATAAGCGAAATACCAGCCACCAGGCGCTAGAGCCAAGACCTCAGCTTCATCGATGAACGCCATAAGAAGTGTCCACGGTGAAAATGAAACTAGTTCTCTGAGCTGGATATAGAAAGAAAGATTCCGGTTCCTCTTCCAATGTGATGTTGTTCTTCCGCGATCGCGGAATTCCTGAAACTCACCATTCGATCTCGATTCCTCGAGGAGGGAACAATCGCGTGGAAGAGATGACAGTTCATCACATTCTCAGAAGATTGTTAATAATCCTTCACATTAACCTCGCGCTGTGCGTTGAAATGGACGGTGAGGGAAGAGCACGTTCTTTAGTTTGCGCCTGCAGTAAGTAGACGACGCTTAATCTTATCTGAATCGCGTCTTTCTTTCGTTTCGACGCAGAGATGATCTCGAGCGTGGCGATGCTGGCGCAGAGGCCAACGAGGATCGTTGGGGGGAAAGACGCGGAGAAAGGGTTGAATCCCTGGCAAGTCTCGGTGCACTGGGGCGATCCAGTACGAAAAATCCCATCGAGACACATCTGCGGCGGCAGTTTGGTAACAGCTGGATGGGTTTTGACTGCCGGACACTGCAAAACACTGGCACCGCCCGTAGGAGAGTTCCACGTTTTCGCTGGGAAGTACAAATTGGACGTTCTCGAAGAAACGGAGCAAAGCAGACTAGTGAACAGAGTGTTCGTCCATCCGCGGTACGATGGGTGAGTTTCGCTCAGAGGAGAAAAATATGTAAAATATTCCGAGGCGTACTAGTGTGAAACAATATCAATCGTGTTCGGTCAAAGGCGTCAAATTGGAATGAATATTAATATTATTTATTTTAATTTCAGGAGAGTGGGACCGTACGACATCGCATTGATGCAAGTGGAGCGGCCATTTCTGTTAAATCCTTTCGTCTCTACCGTCTCGTTGCCATATCCGTACACGATCCCCGACGGAGAAGCGATGTTAACTGGCTGGGGAAGCATCGGCAGAACTCGTGTCCACGAGAAGCCGGGGAATCTTCAGGCAGCCGTGCTGCCTATCATCGACTACGACGTGTGCAAAAGAGCGATAGCGAGGTCGTTGAAACCGAAGGAGAAGAATCCTCTGCACCCGACGAATATCTGCACAGGCCCTTTGAACGGCAGTTTGTCCGCTTGCAAAGTACTTTTCAACAGTAAACGAACGCACGATTGTCACGGTTAATCGAGCCGTTCCCCGCGAATTTCAAGATCCTCTGTTCGGATCGTCGAAATCTTTTCCACTCGAAATTTCACTCTTCTCAGCCTATGACTTTTCAAACTCTCGAATTCTCACGCTTCTAAATCTCTTCGATCTTCCGAGCGTGAGAAAGCCTCGAATCCTCGATCCCACGAGTTTTCCAATTCTCCCTGATCTTCCTAGGACGCTAAAATTGTCCAAGTAAAAATTTTCAAATTGGTAAAAAAATTTTCCGACGCTTTTTGCTTTCAGGGCGATTCCGGGGGGCCGTTAGTGACGAGGAACGGTTTCGGCGAGGCGGAAGTAGTGGGGATCGTTTCGTGGGGTTTGTTCCCCTGCGGTGGAAAGAACGCGCCTTCAGTCTACACCAGAGTGTCCGCCTTCATCACGTGGATCGCCATAATCATGTTGAATCATTCTTAAACGTACGAGGGAAATGATTGTTAACGTGTTTTATTCAATAAATAATAACGTTCGTTAATCGCCGCTCGTCCTATCCGCTAAGTAATTACAGTTTAAACATTACAGATACGTCGTACGTACATCTCGATCGCCTGTCGATAGCAATTGATTCGTACAATTACGCCGTGACTTAATAATTACAACGATTTGCAAGCTTCCGTGACGACCATGACCGCAGCCAACGCTTCCTTAGCTGTCGGTGTTATGTAACGTGCTGGCAAAACGAAACCGTACTTGCCAGTGTCTCTCAGTTCTATCGTGTAAGCGTACTTTATTTTCAAAATAGCTTTCGCCCAGTCGTCCGAGCCGCCGGAAGCTGCGTAAAGCGTGGTAGCGCTGTTTCCAACCGTGTAAACGCTGTTGGCGCCCCCTGCTTTCTTTATCGCCGCTGCCACTTGCTTCCCAACCATTTCGAGATCGGCGTAATCGGGCGGGACGCGTTTGTCGTAGCCCCATGGATACAGAATGTACTGGCCGTAGCTGTGAAACGTCAGATACGCCTAGGAAACAAAAATGAAATTTACTAATTGAACTTGGATGGAATTATTTCTTCAAGGTGTGGATTATAGTGCCAGGATCGTTTCGTTCAGATTAAATTCATTTCTCGATTCATTGTTCATCGGGCAATTTCAACGATCCGTCAACGTTAGAATGAGGATATTGTCAGAACATGATAAAAATTAACTGCGATAGACGAACGATGCAAAGTGAAAATTAAACTAACTTTAAAGTTAGCAGCACTAGCTTCGAAGAAGTATCGAATGGCGTTGGTTTCCGGTTCGGAGAACGGTCCCGAGCCAGCGTATATTTCACGACAAGGGTCCTTGCTAGTTCCCAAGCCACCCCATCGATAACCAAAGTTTCGATTGAGATCGACTCCGGTGCACGGGCTACCGACAGACCGTTTCCTGTTCTTTCTCCATAAACGGTCTCTCGTGAACGTGTACTCGTACCTAGAAAATCGTGATGATAACACGAGATGTTGGCGAGAATACGCGAGACGTTCTAACACAGGTAAAAATATATACCCGTCAGGATTCGCCACCGGAAGAATATAGTAATCAGCCTCGAGGTCCTCGCTATTTTCAACCAAGTGATTAATGATGTAAGTCACCGCTGCCGGGGAGATCCATTCTCGAGCATGGATCCCGCCGTCGATCCACAACGCTGGCGCGTTCGCTTTCCCGTTGCTGATTCTTATAACCTGTCATATAGCGTGTCATAAATTATTCCCCGCTTCAAACTCACTCCCGCATCTTTTCCCTTAACTCTGAAATAACTCTACTCCATTTTTTATTCAATTACTTCTGACTTATCAATTGCTTATGCATATGTCTCCTCATAATTTTCCAATTTGAAAACATCGAGTCGAGACACTTTTATAGATCTCGGGAGTGATCATGAAGGAGTAATCATTTTAAATAAATCGTTCATTCCAACTAGGCAGTCAGACGAGCGTTTTGTCATACCTTAAGAGGTCTTCCCTCAACAGAATTACCAATGCTGACCACAGAGCAAACGTCGGGGAAAGTCTCAGCGAGATAATCCATGTACCCGTGGATGTCCTCGAGTCGATGATAACTGCTCCATTCCATTCGATGACCTGACACGTATACCTTCAAGATTATTCAGAGGTTGCACGTTCGGTGTCCTTGAACGACACGTGATAATATTCCGCTCCGTGGATTCAGAGGCTAATGACCGAGTAATATCTGACGATTATATTATCGTTAACCCTCGAACGATAGGTCATTTGAGTATATAAAAAAGAAGAAAAGCAATTATTACTCTGAAACTATACTGGAACAACTTGAAATTATAAATAACAAACGCGTATGCAAAGAAGAAATATAATTGTCTGTCAAAACTGTCTGAGAGGGTTGAGAGAATAAATTCAATAGACTAGAATAATCGATATATAAATAATCGAGAACAGTGGTTCTGAATCAACGAAGCGGATTGTACGCGCAAGAACCTCACCCCTAAAGTGCCAATGGCCACCGACACCGTGTGCGCTAGCTACAGGATAACGAAGAGGACGAGGACGTGAATATATACTTGGCACCCTCGCGACTCCCTGCCACCAAGCGTAACGAGCTAGAAAATTACTTAGGTGCTCAGTATTTATTCAGTGGCGTACTGTTGCCTTTTGATAAGCGTTAGTCGTTAATAGACATACTTTATGTTAACACTAGAAACTACCACAATGGTCAAAATGACCAATTTATAATTTTTATTGGACGTTTTACAAACGTGAGACAGTGTATTTCTAAATGATTTTTCGTAAAAAATAGATTTTCCTTTTTTTTTTTACTTTGACATCTTTGATGGAAATTATTACGTTTCAATCGGTGGCAGTTTCAGTGTCATCAGTGAAAATTTCGGACAGAAGTCTATCCGTAATCAGAGGCAACGATGTTTACGCGTTTACTCTTCACGCTCGATTGTTCGATTATTTCGGTTCGAGTCAGTTTCAACCAACTTTCGAACCGATCTCGAGCGTGTGCCATCGATTAGCTGGCTGACGCGTAACGGGACCGTGATCGAAACAACAAAATTATTGGTGGAAACGCGTGGTCACACGTGCGTCGCAGATGCGCGCACACAACCAACGTAGACGCACGCGAGCACGTGTAACTGTTAATGTTAATCAGCATTGTCGAAGTGCCGAAAATGGGTTAACGGGTTAAATCGCGTCGAGGGCGATAACCTCGCGCGTTCTCCTCGAAAATAACCGCCGCGAATAACGATGTTTGAAAAGGCCGCCGGTAAATTCACAAGACCGTTGAATCGTTAAATTGTGCAATAATTGAAACGTTTCATTCGTTGGACGAATAAAAGTTTCACGCGAATCGAACCGAGTCGGAACGTTTGAAAAATCGCTCGACTCGACGACGAAGTTTACTTCGCGACGAAATCACTTTCGAATCGATGCTCGCGTATGGACGACGATTTGTCCCCGCGGCTTTCTTCGCTGCGTGACTCGACTGCGGAGCAACGCGAGTCGAACGAGTTGCCATTCGTGTCAGTGGAGCAGGTAAAATGACAAGTGAAACATCGTTGTTTCACTGTCGAAACGAAACGATCCTTGTCGTTTTCCGCCGTCGTTGACAAGCGAGATCGATGTTTCGATGACTGAGAGAAGCACGCGAAGAAACGGAGAACGAAGAGCAAGAGTATCAAGCAGGGGGAAGCACGAGACAGGAAGCAAAACCGAAATGTACGACGGAATTTATTATAAAGAATGAACGGAAGTATCTGTGCGAACCTTTGCGACCTTCCAGTTCCTCCATCTCCTGCTCGGAAAGCGATGGATTTTCTTCGTCGATCGCCTTCTGCAAATCCTCGATCACTACCTGGTACTCTAGATCCTTCTGTTTCAAGTAGCGAGACAATCTTGGAATCTCTTCCAATCGAACCATCACGTCCACCGTTGTGTCGTTTCTCGTCCATAACGATGGTACTGCGAGAGTGAAATGAGAATGAAAAATAAACGTTCTCGAATATTTTGTTTGAACAACAATTCAATAATTTCTAATGATGACAAATCGTATTTTTTTTTTTTTGTATCTTTTGTAATCTGTGATTGATCCTTGATTGCTGTAAATATAACGAAACAGTGAGAAAGCAAAAGTCAGTTAGAAGATTGATCGATTGGCCGGCCATTGACGAGTAGAAAAGTGCAAATAGAATCAGCATTAATAATTCTTTCATTTCCAATTAAAACTGTCGAAACAAAGATCTGAGATCTAAGAGTATCCCGTTACCACCGGAAGGAAATTTTACGAACATCCAGTGTCCTGAAAGTCCGTGGTCACGTTCGACAGCAGGTCCTTCTGTCCCTCGGAACTTCGAACCCTCCAGACCTGTGCCCCATCGTAAGTTACCTTCGCGTCCCTCACTCGAACCGCTCTTTGAATCGTCTTCGAGTTTTCCGCTTGGACTGGCTCGTCCACGATCTCGATCCAGTCCGGGATCACGAATTCTCGTTTCTGCCGATGGATCACCGACGCATCGACGAACGCGAGAACGACGAGCAAAAGGAGGGACGCGATCGCGACGAAACGCGCGCCGTGAGATCCACCGGCCTTCCTCATCGCGCGCAACTATCCTTGGATCGACAATGGTCCCTGCTTTTATAATATTCAAGCCGGTCGACGATCGAGAGTAACGGGACTTAACCAGCCCTCCTCCAACCGGCTCGATCGCGGTTCGAGGATCTTTGACCCCGCGAAAACCGTGATCGAGATATTTCGAAATTTTCCTTGCAATTAAATTCTTCTTTTTCGTTGTTTTTTTTTTTTTTTTTTTTACTGGAATTATGAAGTTTAGGATACTCGAAGAGTTTAACCGTCACTCTTTATACAATAATAATTTATATATTTCCACTCTTTATACAACACAATACAATAACTCTTTATACAATAATAATTTATATATTTTTAATTTATATATACAATCGTCGTAATTTATATATTTCCTATCCTTTTCTATATTTTCTATCTCTTGCACGTTTGAATTTGAAAATTCCAGAAATTCGAGAACGAATTGAGAATGTCAAACGATCGATCGAAATGGTCAAATAAAATTTAGAATCCCACGAACGGAGAAATGGGAAATCGAAAGTCCCTGAGAAGAGATTGTTACGATTTTTACCGAGGCTAATCAACGAGATTATCCGATTCTCTCCGTCAGACGAAATCAGTATAGTCGTGAGACATTCCGCGCAAGCGTCCGCGAGTTTATTTAGCCGCCACGCGGTGCTTCTGATCGCATTTAAGCGGCGTCCGGTGTTGAGCGATGAAGGTGGATCTGTCAGAGAATCCGGAGCACTCGGGACGCAATCGTAAAGCGATGAAGATCCTGTTGGCGGTGGCTTGCCTGGTCGCGTTGGCCGCAACTTTAGAGGTACCGTTTCGCCTTTAACGACGGAAATAATCGCAGCGGACGCAGCTGCGTTTTTCTGCATACCGTTAGCTAAACGACGCGACATTCGAAGAATCGCCGCGAGAGTTTGTTGTCGTGCACTCGTTCTTGAAGGAAACCACCACGAGAAGAAGACGACGATTCAGCGACGCGATTAATTCGCGTTAAGTAAAATTCAAATGAAATTCCTGCGATGAGTTGTTCCTTGAATTGGTGATGAATTCCGACGAGAGATAAATTAGCGACAACTGGCGATCAAAATCGATCGATTTTAAGGAGGTGACAATTGTCTGATGAAATTCAAAGAACGTATTTCCACGAGCATGTTGGTCAGATTACGAAAGGTGGATGGAAAGAAGATCGAAGTTATAGATCGGTAGCGATGGGCTGCGTAAGGTTTCCTTAATACCAGTGCACGTTCGATTCTTGGCGATTCTACGCGAGCACGTGAAGACCGTGTATAATTCCGTGAGATGCAAGTTTACGCGCCGTGAAAGTCGTAGAAATTGCGAATTTATTGGAACAGCGTGCCATCGCGTTGTTACTTTTTTTCTATACTGAAAAATCTCCACTTGTCTTTCCAATAATGCAGCTGATCTCACAGACGCGTTCCAAGTTTCTACGTGTTCCCGTCGTAACGGAGGCACTTTCCCCATTTCCTAAACTGACCTCCGAAATTTTGTTTCAGAACGACAACCTCACCGTCACCGATCAAGTATTCCTGGACGTCATGATAAACGATCATCCAGCGGGAAGAATCGTCGTCGGGTTATTCGGCGACGTCGTCCCTAAGACGACGAAGAATTTCATCGCTTTGGCCACTTATGGGGTAGGAGGGAAAACGTACAAGGGTAGCAGGTTTCATCGAGTAATTAAGAAATTTATGGTGCAAGGTAACCGAGATCGAGATCGAAGCAAAGTAACGAGAGTCAAATTCTAGTAAATTTATTATTTATTTACATTTGCTAACTCGTATCTCCTTTTTAGGCGGAGACATAGAGAATGATAACGGCACTGGATCGATCAGCATTTATGGAAAATACTTTGACGACGAGAATTTCGATATTGGACACAATGGACCCATGTACGTGAGTATGGCGAACGCCGGGAAGGATACGAACGGCTGTCAGTTCTTCATTACAACTGTGCCCACACCGTGGCTGGATGGGAAACACACTGTATTTGGAAAGGTAACGAGCAGGCTGTGTATGTAAATTAATTAAAGAAGTATCGAGAGAATTGAACAGAGATTCATTTCGTTAGTCGTACAATTTGTATATTCATGTTATATAAATATTCATAATTCAATAATAAAAAAAATATATATTTATTTGTTATATTATTTATTTATCTCGACAGGTAATCCAAGGGGAGGATGTAGTTTTCAAGATCGAACAGACGAAAACGGATGCTGACGATGTGCCGATTAAACCTGTGATCATCTTCGAATGTGGGTCTCTCCCTACCTCCTCTCCATTTAAAGTGGACGACAACATTTACAAGTAAATCGATCAGTCGTAAAATATCGAACAGTAGTCGAGCCTACTACACTAGGTACAATTTCTCTGTTGATTTTTTATTTTTGACAATTTGGCTAGAGCTTGGCAGAGTTCCACGACTATTTGACAAAGTAAAAATCCTTGACTTACATTTTACATTTTTTTAAATTGTATAAATCATTAGAAAGTATATAAGATAGAAAGTACAAACGCATAATGTACGCTGTAAGAAAGTATGAAGTATTATGTACATTAATTTACGTTCCTTCTAATTAAGTATTTAATTATATTTTCGAGCTAGTATTGTTTATTCTCCGTCCTGAGATTAACGATTCTTTACTACGTAAAACGTAGGTAAAGTAATGCTGGGTGTATAATTATTATATATGTAAATGTGATTTCAAGTAAGTAGAATTTTCTAAAATATATTCGTCGTATGTACTAATTTGAAATAATTCGTCTGTCTTTTAATTTTCAGTATTTGGGCGTGGATAAAAGCAACGTCTATACCATTGAGTTTCAGCTTCTCGATTCTCGCCTTTTTCCACTATATCATGAAGAAATTAGATGTTGATTAACTGTCTCATAGTTACATACAAATACATCAAATTTTTAAATTCGAGAAGAACAAAAATTATAATTCGATGGATCGTATCATCGGAAAAGTCGACGATCAAAATTTTACTTGAAAATTTTATAATTATTAAAAAGAGAGGGAAATAAGAAGACAAAAGTATTCATCTAAAATAAATCTACAAAGTTAAATTGGGGTCTGAAACTACGAAGAGTTAGGCTTGCAAATTATGATCTGCTAGTATTTGTTCTAACGAAAAAAAATTCAATTAAATCGCAACACTAGCACAGGTAATGAACTACTATTGCCATCTAGCAGCAACTCGATGACACTGTTCTCTCGCATTTGCAGTTAAGAAATATGCAAATATTTATCTTACCTGAATAATTCGCGTTCTTTGTCTAACACCTCCATCATTCTGTAATCCTATTAACATCCTATGAACATCAGCAGCAATAGGAGCTAAAACTATGATCTCGTATCATCTTCAGTCTTCTTTATACGATTTTCAACCATACTTGAAAACCTCCATCATAATTCTAACTTCCCATTCGTTTCTAAGCAGAGTATTAACAGCAAAATTAAACTAATAAATAAAGGATGAAGTCATAGCGCTCTATCTTTTTCTTTATCCAATACCTTCGTCCTCCTTCTATTATCGTGAGAAGAAAGTAACAGAAGTTGAAGTAAATACTCACAGATTAAAATTGGTATAAAGTTTCACTTTCTATTTCTTGCACTTTCAATTTCTTTCTACTTTAGTTACATATTTCTGTTAAATTCACATCTTTTTTACAGTCTTTCCTTGTTGAATTTATTTAGGCGAACTGAAAGAGGATCAAACGGAGACAATTCATTTATTTGATTGTGATGTATACACAGTGAGAAAGAGATGAAACGTCAACTTACGAATATAACAGACTGCGGATGTCTATGCAATTCTGTGTCTTATTAATAATTCAATGATAAAGTAATCTCACGTCGCGTGGAGCCGCTGATCAAAAATTGAAACAGAAATTCAATTCCGACGTAATCTTCGGGCCAAAGTGAGACTAAAAATAAATCGTGTTCGTCGCGCGATCGATATCTCTGAATCACCGCTGGTCAGCTATCCAAAGTATCTAATAATCTGTGAATTCGATTGAATCGGAAACTAAGTTGAAAACTTACTTGAAAAAGAAAAGATCGTCGAGAGAGGAAAATACCACGAAATCGAAATTGTAGTACGCTCCGAATTGTAGTACGCTACTGCGAGAGAAATGACGCAAAAGAAGCACGCAGGCGCGGATGGCCGTCGCCAGAATCGGGCGTAGAAAGGTGGCCTCAGTGAGTGTTGAGCCGGCGTCGACTGCCGTTCCTTAACCGGAAGCGATGTCTTTGACCGCGGCGTCAGCGGATGCGTCACGATAATTCCTCGTAAACCGCCTCGTGGGCCGTTCGTCGGTCTTCCGTCTGTCTCGTTTCGTCTCGGACACGGTGAAACACAGGTCGCGTACGCGCACATTCGGTACGAACGCGAATGAATTTCTGAATGAAATGAAGAACAGCGTCGTGTTGTCGTCGTCGAGCAGCGTCGTGAGTTGACGCGAAACAAAAATCGTGCGACAGCGTGTGATCTCGCGCGTGTCGAAGCCGGGAGGCGTGTATGTATGTTGCCCTGCTGGAAGTTCGATCGACGAGAGGACAGCCGGGAGAGAAATCGTCCGGAGGGATGCTTTGAAATACGGTCAGAGTGGTTTCATTCAAGGTAAGCCTGTTTCTTCTTCCACGGTCCCCCTTTTTCTCTTCTTTATTTGGAGACTTTATTGTGCGCCGATTTCCAGTCAGCTGACCGGAGCGTTTCAGCGTGTTTCGTTCGTGGTTGTGTACGTTCGTACGTATTCCAGTATTCCTGTGGTTGTGAGGTACGTTCAACCCGTTGAAGGTGCGTCGAGCGGAAAAAAGCGCTGTTATAGGTGTGTACGTGATGATGTACTGGCGAATTTTTGGAGCATTGCGACGCGTTTGAAGGGACAATTACGCGGGATGAAACGCGTGCGATCATTAGAGAGTTCAGTGAATTAGGAGTGATGTCATAGTTAAAAAAGAGATCTGACACTTGTTATCGGAAAATGTGCTCTGTAAATTTTCTGACGTTTCATTGGAAAATGAATTTGGCAACTTATAGATAAGAAATATTGAAACGTCAGTATATTTATCATGGAATTTACATGCAGTTACATTAATTTCCGCACGTGGCAATGCTAGGACTGGATAAATTTGAAATTGAAACATTTCTTGTAGCTATTGCATACGAGTGGAGAAATGACTTAGTAGACTCTATTATACCTGGACCATCAAACAAAGATTCTTTCAGACCAGTAGTCTTTCATTCTCCATTCAATAGGACAAATGTAGAATCTTCTCTTTCCTTCATTTTCTCGAAACTTTTATTTTCTTACAGTAAACTTTAATAAAAATTTGAAAAAGAGATAAATAAAAGCCAGTTGTAAGTTGGGCGTTTCGTTGCTCCAAAATTCGTGCTGACAATGCGAAACACGAGGGATCGAACTCGTTCCACGCGGTTGAAACGCTCGTCTATCGATTTGTTTATCACGCAGCGTGATTCCAGAAAGAGAGAAGGACGCAACACCGCGAGAACAAAATATTTTGATCGACTGATAGTTGATAGTGACGGCTAAATGAATCATATCTGATGTTCTATTTGTTTCTTCCTGTCTTCCGTGCGCATTTACTTACGTGCGACCTTGTTACGAGCAACCGATAATGCGTTGTCACATTTGACTTTGCATGGAAATGAGAAGATAACTTTCAATTCACGTTTCAACACGTTCAAACATTCCTTATCTTTCGAAACAGAAAATATTACTTTCCTTTCCGCGAGAAAAATTACTTCAGGTAAGGTAGAATGTAAATGAAACTTGAAGACTTCCATTGAATCGAGAGAAAAGTCAATTTTTACTCCTCTGAAATTTTTCCACGCAAAATAAAATTAACACGCTGCGAAGAGAACGAAGAGAGGAATTTTTCGCGAATTCAGAATGAGAATTAATAAAAATGTGCAACGTGAATTTCAAGCCGACGAGACGTTTAGTTCAAACTGTTCAAAGAGACATCGAGTTGTTTATCGAGTAATCAGGAAATCCAACGCGACTTATATTTACTCTGAAAGCATAACGAGCGTCGTACACTCCCTTAATCAAACTCTTTTACGTTGCCTGCCGCACACGCCTACGCAACCTCTGCACGCAATGTGCGTTTCTTTGTGAAAATGATATCCAAGGAATTTAATAATATGTGACAGTGGAGAATCAAAGCGCCAGCTTTTTTTGAACGGACGGAAGGAAGTAATTATTCTAATTGTAAGAACACGTAACTCATATCTACATACGTGTTTTACGATCGTTTATTACATTTTTTGTTTTCTTTTTTCTTGGAATTTCGTGGTGAATGTTTTTAATTAAGGCTCGATACTCATTTTACATTAATTAGATAAGTAATGTTTAATGGAAAAGCAACGGTTCTCGATTCTTTGTTCCCTTATCGTGCTTAAAAGTTAATGAATGTCGCTATAAATGGAAAACTGATGAGTGACACGTGTGTTCATTCGGAAACTATTCAACCTGTCCTCTGTAAGAAAATGCTGGACGTTATCTGTAAAGGCTGAATAGGTATTAGTTCTAGAAATTCTAGTGGCGAGCTAAAATTATCGAGATTCCACAATGCCTCTGTCATCGATATTGATTCATATAGTAAACTGACGAATGCTAATTAAACGACCACAGCTTACAGACGAAGATTGTTAGCTTAGAATTGTTCACTTTATTTAAAATTAAAACAATTCTGGTGAAACAATATTTTTATGAAACAGACTCGTTAGAATTTCATATCATCCGCGTTATCTATCCCCAACTGACAATCAATATGATAATTCTCGTGATTGCTATCGAAAAAAGTCGAAAGCAGTTGTAGTTGACATTAGCTTTGACCGAAATTGAAATTCAAGAATGAAAATATCGAAGGCCCTTCGTACAATTTAATAAATATCTAGACTGTGAATTTTTACGAGCGTAGCTAAATGGATATTTAATTATTTAAGAACTCTCTACTTTGGATATTTCGTAAATTTTCGTATTGCAGATTAGATATACAGATCTTTTACATTTTGCAAGCTAACGGTATTAATAAATTTTTCTCGTACGTCAGTGACAAATTTAATGATAAATCAAACGATATTTTGCACTGAAATTTTACAAATCGTAGAATTTCAAAGTTTATGAAAGGGAAGATTCGATTCGTGAATATTACTGATCGATTATATATAATTTATAATATAATATATATAATATCAATTGATAAATTATATATAATTTAGTCCAAGTATCTTCCTTCTTCTTTCCTTTTCTTTGCTGAATGACAATAACGACCAAGTTGTCATTTAATTCGCCTAACATTTCTCAAACCGGTTTAGTCAGATGAAGACGACACGCGTCTTGATTAAAATGCAATTTCACGTACCAGCTCTCTTAATTAGCATAAATGCACTTGTGGTAAAGTGACGGAGAGCGTGTCATTTGCTCGGACTCTGGAACGACGGCTCCCTTGAATTTCACAATGCAATAACTATAATACTTCTAAGTAACTAAAGACAATGGATTAGAGCTCCGTGATTTTTATCTTTCTCGTCTCGCGTTGGTAATATTTGCTGGTAATATTGGTAATATATCTCTCCAAACATTCACCTATCGTGTATCATCGATCGAATGTACTGTTGAAACTTCTGTTATTTAAAAAAAATGGCGACGTTGCTCCGCCTTTTCTCGAAATCGCGCGATAAAAAGATAATCTCCGATAAAAAAAAAAAGAAAAGAAAAGAACGATGATATATCTACGCAAGTATATACCGTTGCAGAATTTAGTTAAATTTTTATCAAGAGCAACGATGCACGAAAAAACGTGGTAACTCACCGTGGAAGAGTTCGAATTTTTCTCGCGTAAATGGAAAGTTTCTAATTTATTACGGCAGAAAACTAATCTACCACCTATCATCTCGGTATTTATTTTGCGACCAGATCGCGACTAGCGATTAGATAATAATTATTTCTCAGTTACGTGAACGATTCGTAACACGATACCACCTCGGCCGTAGAAAAATTTGTACGATTGTATGTCAATCGTGCAACGTGTCGGTGAGAAATTTTGATACAGATGACCGTGAACATGAGAACGCTGCTTCCATTTCTCTGTAATTGCACGATACAGGAATCGTCTTTATAATTTTACGACGGCAGTAAATTTTTTAACCATCGCGTTCTATCTGGGTCGAACGACGGAATCTCGTGCATCTATCGAAACGCTTGATGGCATCGAGAGACGATCTATAGTCTGTGAGTGAGCAATCGAGATGTCCGATGTCAGCAGTATCGAATAGTATCGAATTCAGAATTTAAGATTGCTAAATTTACACGGAAGAACTTTTACTAATTATTCGTAAATTCCGTTTTTGATTTCATTTTACTCTTCGGCTGAAAAAAGTTCTCCAAGAAACGCGTTCTTAAAAGAATCTCGTTAAGTAGAATAATCGATAAACTTCTTGAAAGGTCTTAAGGAAAGATCTTACACAAAAATTTCGTAATTCAACTTCTACGCTCTACTTCAGCCACGGTAGTGTGCAGAAGTTAGGTAGATTTTTTTCACTTTCTGTTCCAAAAAATATTTTGAAACGTTTCTGCTAATGCATTTCTGTAATTACACAACAGTGTAATGTTTTCTACAGTAATCTTGTTATCAGTGGTTGGCCGATAGCCAAGCTGATTCTGGAAAACGTGTGGACGCACCTTTTACGAGACGAGCAGAGTCCAACCCCATATAATTGCTTGATAATTAGACTAGGTGTGCCTGGGTTTTTATCGAAAGAAAAAAACGAATGAAAGAGCCGAGTTCTCAGAACTATTTCGCTTGGTAATTTTAAGCTTCTCCGCGATTTTTCATCGATCGCGAATAAACATGCAACTAGCATTTTCATAAACACGAGCCGATATTCTACGTTTAACGACGTAGATGCACGAAAGTTTGAAGGATTTTTCTAAGGGAATATCGTGTTGTCTTCCTCTTTCTGCGTTTTATTGCTCAGGAGGATATATGAGACGTTAAATTGACCGGAACTCCAGCAGAGACATAGTTTGATGATCGTCTAAAAAAACGACCATCCAGGTCTTTGGTCGAGACACCAAAAGCTGAGACCACGTGAAATCTTAGACGGGAGCAGGATATGGGTGCACATGGTGTGTACACATGGCTAGATACATTGCTTACACGTCGGTTGCTATTTTCACGAAAATAATGACGACAACGCAAACGATAGATTAAACGAAGACTTTCCTTTTAAATTCAACGCGTAGACTCTCACATTAATTGATATTTTGTTCGACGAGTGCAAAGTGCAGCGGACTTAAATTATCTCCAGATCACAATTCCTTAACTCCATAAAGTACCAAAAATTTCCGAGATTGACGCGGGACGAAGATTGAAATTCTCGAAAGGCAACTGTTAAAATACTAACCGACACCTTAATTCAATAAAACGCATGGCGTACGAGTGTCCCTTCGACCGAGCCGAATTGACCTCGTTCTGTCAATTGGCGAGTCGCGAGCCGGGAAATGTCAAAAGGGAACGTGTCGCACGATCTCGCGAAATAAGATCCACGCGAAAGTCACGCTACAATGTTACAATTTAAGTAGTAAAATTCTGTAGAGCGTAAATTTCGAGGGGGTCAAGCCGGTTGTAAACACGGAGGGACGAGTGGCGCGCCGAGTCTCGTGGCGAAACGAGGTTAAAGGTACCCGACTGCGGCAGCAGCGTGTCGTATCGATTCTAGTCGGGCTGACATTGCCGCTAGAGAATCTCGAGATGTTGACAGCGTACACGGTGGATTGTTTTACGAGCGAGCGTTTTCGTATCACTTTGTGTTTCAGGGTGAAAGGCCATCCGAGCAGATCCCAGGCATGTCCAAGTATTGGCTGAACGTGGCCCTCCTCAGGGTTGTGCTACCGCTTGTTTTCACAGGATGTAAGTGCCGAGTGATCTTTTAATCAACTTCATTTATCCTACATACACTTGAACTGCTAACAACAACGGGAGGATTGAACGTTTGACTTTTCAAAAGATTTTCGGAGTCGAATTGGTAGAAAGTAGAAAGTTTTCGAGTCGAAATATAAAGAATAAAGGATCGTTCTGAACATTTAGAGTAGCAAATATTAACATTTACGGATTCGATTGATTTATTCTCCAAAGAGTATTATTTTACTACTCATTCGATAGTATGGTTCGTATGAAAGATCTAATTATGTTGAACAGTGTGTTTGAATAGATAAACGTTTTATTTTTGCTGATAAGGTTCCCGGAAATCTTACGTCATATTACGATAAGGATATATTAGTAGACCTTCATTTTGTTCTAATCAAGTATCGAATAATTTTTTTTTTCTGAAATTTGGAAATCTAAAGAGAAATTATAAATGGCCTAATTGTAAATGGATCCTATGTAAAATGAAGACAATTTCCAGTTGAATCTCTCTCTAAAGTTTGAAAGAATTCCTTATCGATCACACGTCCGCCACAAAATTGATCTGTTTTAATTTACCATTTCAATGAAAATTGTAGAATTAACAACATTGTTAAAAGAGGCTTTATAAATTTACTGACAGATACGAAGTCGAATCGAAGAGGTCACATGTTGACCGTTCTATTAACGTGGCCAGTTTAATACTGTTATTAATTATCAGGGTGTTATCTCGACGTGTCACATATGCTAGACCGCTCCACGCTGAGTCACATTATGTCGTAAATAACGTTGATGGATATTAGTTCTTTCTCATTAAGGAAAGAAATAAAAAAAAAAATACTTCGAATAATCTAACTGATTTTTCGTTATCGATATAACGATTTCGTAAGAATAACAAATTATATAGGATTAAAGTGTAGAAATGGACGCTCCGAGAATAAGAGTGACGTAACCTGTCGTTCCCATGTCCAATAAAATGAAAAGTGAGTATTTTCGAAGATCGTCGAAAATACAGCCAGCACGTGTATAATTTGAGAATACTCAGAATTCCATGGTGACAACTGTCGAGACACACTGTTCAGTCTATAATTAGACGGAATTTTGTTCGATAATCACACGTAGCCCGTCTCTGTTATCAGTTTTTTGTAATTGAGGAACTTTTTTGGGGAGAAAGATACCTATAAGATACTTTCGTAACACCAATTATTATTTTGTTCAAAATATGTAAAATTCTCAAGCCAGACGACTCTTTGCAATATTTAACAAATGAAGCTCTATAAATTTCTATTTAAGTTCCATCCTTTTAGTAGTATTGTAAATAAATTTTTTTCTTGATATAATTTCACAACTCAATTGACCACATTGAAAATACATTTGGCATCTGTTATATTGTCATAAATTCATAAATCCTCTTCTCTTCAGAAAATACCTCGATACGTACTATAGCGAGATGTTCGTTCAACAAGTCGTAATGAAACGATCTCTCCTCGTAGAAAGATTTCGACGTAGTAAAAGGGAAATTTTAATTCGCTCGAGAGTAAACATTTTCTTTTTTTTTTTTTTTATCGTAAATAGAATTCCGAGAGGCTGCTTCGATCTTCCGACCTCAATCAGATGACTGAGAAACAATGACGCTAAATGTAACGTTGTTATCGCTGAAATTATCATGTTGCACAAGCTGGCCAGAATAATTAGCTGTCCGTGGTTTCTATAATTAACGTTCCGTCGGGAAAAAAAAAAAAAAACGCAGACAGTTCGTGATCATGAAATTGTTGCATAATTCAAAAAGTTCCTTATCATTGTTCGCAATTAACTTTTTATCCCCTGTTTTGATCTTTTCGTTCTCCAAAGAGGAGACAGAATTATGCCTCCTGTAATAAACCAGTCAACCAGGTTGAAAATAATAATAGAGAACGAAATGTGTAATCGGCAACAATATTGGAATACAGAAGACACTGTACACTCGCGTTTACTTGGCAGCCGGTCAAACTTTTCGTTTGTGCGCGCGGCGGAGAGAAAATAGTAAGCAGAATGTACTCTACGAATAGAAAGTGCTTTCATAGAGCTCGGCACGCAAACTGGAGCGACATGGAACGAGTTTTCGAGAATATAATTTCACTCGAGATAGTTTTTCTTCAAAGAGACCGACCGCCACAGTTTTCGAGACAACAGCGGGCATCCTCTTTCGAGGTGCATCGCCAAGAAATTAATTGCTCCTCCTGCTTCTTGAGGATCGGTACAATTAACGTTCCGAGTTAATTAACCGAGTAATAGGTAATTATCATTCTTCGAACTCGCGATTCGTGCGTGACGAACTCACAAAAGTATCGTTCAGAGCGATGAAATTGAAATGAATTTGCGAAACGGATTGTGAAAATTGTTTGAATCCGTCGGAATGATACGGGGGTGTAAAATGTCATTGGTAGTAGAATCTCCATCTTTGAAGTCCCCAGGTTGAAATTGACCTTTCTTTTGCCCCATTTCTTCTCGTACGAAGCGAAATGAACTGCATTTCTACGCTTGACGAATATCAGACGGAAAATGTCGCGAAACGAGAATGTCTTTTACATTGTAATTCGCTGTTTTACACACCATTCTGGATTCTAATTTAACTGAAATTAATGTTTCTTGTATAGTCACACGAACAATAACGTATATAACGAATAACATATGAATGAGTCACGTTGCATTTTATACTTAAGTTTTTCACGCACAAATAGTACATTTATTATAATGATAAAATAATGAATTAAAAAATAATAAGAAAATGATGAATTAATGGTAAAATAATGAAAAAATACGAAATGCAAACAATATTGAAATAACCATTAATCATTAATTCTTGAACTCTGAACAGGTACAATATGGCGACCTGTAGGATTGTCCCTAGTTTACTTGGCTCTGATGCTATACTCGCCGCACGTGCCCGTACCAGACGCAAAAACAATGGCTGGCCATACAGGCCACTATTTGAAAACGTGCATCGGCCTGTCTTTTCTCACAGCAACCAGCCAGCTCACTTTTCACATAGTTCTATTAGCTCTGCCTACTTATGGACACTTCCTTCACAATTGTACGTAATTTCTCCCAACCTTGAATCTAGTTACCGAGAATGGACTGAGAATGTCTATCGTTGAACAACTTTCAGGCGAATCGATGGAAATGATCTTCAGACACATAGGTTTTGTAAGATTAGACGAAGCTTCCGGCTGGGAGATCTTCTTCTGGCTGACGCCGGAATTGATTGTCCTACCTATCAGCGTGGCAGTGTACTTTCTGTGCCGATTTCTGTCACAAAAGAGCGTCGTCGATGAGGAGGAAGATCCGTCGTTGCATCAAAACGCCGAGGCACCGAAAAAGAACGCGGACGGGACTGCCAAGGTATTGTTCAGCGTTGATAAATTTCATTAAATTTCGTAATATGCAATTTAATAATAAATTGCATATAATATATTATATGTTAAATCGGGCAATCTGTGAAATTATGTGCCTAAACGCTGCGCCAAAATCTTACTTTACCTACAGTAGATAAAATTTTGGAATCACTTTTCCAATTGTATCAATTCGCTAATTTTATTTCAACTCGAGATTGACGCTACAAACGTTGAAAGTTGAATCTTCCAAGTTAATTAAATTTAACGTTTGCACAGAACACACATTGGTTCCAAAATTTTAGCCGGTAATGTTCTTGCGTAAGTGGATAAAAAATTTTAGCTCGTAGCTAACTTTAGTAAGTTTGTCCATCCAGATCATCAATTTCCTCGGACGAATCGGCACCTATGTGGTCCTCGCGTCGCTCTGCATCACGGCGTCCCTGAAACCATCGATAGAGGGTGGTTTCTACTTCCTCGTCTTTCTGGGTGCCGCAACTTGGTGGGCGTGCAATAAAGAGCTCCGAAAGGGTTTCGCTGTATTATGCAGGATCGTGATGGCCGTCGTGATCCTTCATATCCTGGCCCTGCTCACCTATCAGAATCAAGTGCCCCAGCAGTTGATACCCGTGAACAGCACTTGGCAGCGATACTTCGCATTGACGCCTGTCTATCGGACGAACTGCACCGATCCAAGAGACGTCAAGTACGCGGACAATGCCGATTGGTTAATTTACGGCTATTGCTTGAGGCTGTTCTGGCTCTATTACGTCTTGGCGTTGCAGTCACGGTTCCTGAGCGAAAAGCCGGTGAGTTTATCTGTTGGTATACTAAAGAATATATCTTGCATTATGGTTCCAACGATCCAACGATACCGGATAAACGTTGACATTAACATTACAAAATAGTTGAAATTTACTCGAGAGTTTAACGAATCGTGGGATAATAAAACAAACATAATACGGTCTAACGGGAGATGAAACGGGCGAGGATTATCGGAGTATTATTAAGCGGAAGCAGTGCTCCGTCCATTGAAATTGTAATTAATCGATTCGAGAAGATTCAGCCGCGAATATCGTTGAATAGCATGTCTAGGATACTTGGGCGTTTGAAGATGATGGACGTGAAGTACAGTGGAAAGGATCAAGCAGAGTTTGAACCTTTGAGCATGAACCATGATATAACGACGCATGTTGCGTGCAATGTGCTTTCTACTGACTCAATTAACTTTCTCACGGTTAAGGAGAACGATTAACCCATTGATGTCGGCATTGATAACACGATCTAAGCTTTTACGATCTGTATATTCACTAACTCCGTGATTACATACAAGTGTAACATCTGTCGCTCTGTTACATGCGTGTCATTCTTTGACGAACACGTTGCTTTTACTAACGAGGCGTTACAGGCGAAGGAAGTGAAACGTCTGAGCGGCAAGCTGGAGAATCTGGACACGCCGTTGTCCAGGCACGTTTCCATCAGACGAAGGACACCATCTCAGAGATGGCAGTCGGCGCGGCGGAAGGCTCGCGTAAGGATCTCGTTCCTGCCTGAGCCGAATTTTCTCGTTTGCTTTGATCTTTGCCTGTTTCTAGATATCTTTCTTTTTTTTTTTTTTTTTGGAATGAATTCGAGTATATTCTATCATCGAGTTTGTTTCATGTTACACATAGTAACTCACGAAAATATATGAACATTTTTTACCTCTCTTGGAAAAATCTCACATCTTCCATAAATCATTTTAAAATTTCATTAGAATCACAGTGAAACACGGCCATCATGATTGTGTTGAAATTTGATATCAATCTGGAAATGTATATAAATTTGCAAACATGTACCTACAGCATGAATAACCATCTTAGATTTAAGATCTAAAAATGAATAGAAATTAGGATATAATATTTAACAAAGATTTAGTACACTGCATGAATAATCATCCTGTATAGGTAATTAGTACAGTGAATAATTCATTATTGAAATATCTTGCATCTTTTATACATATTTTCAAATTTATTTCAAACTTCATCAACATAATTATGACATAATTTACTTAATTTTATCGCGGTGCTATTTAAAATTTCAAAATATGTTCATAAAAGATTTCTACAAATATTCGAATACGTTCGTGAGCTACCCGCGTCATTAATTTAATATTACGATCAAGAAAAATTTATAAACTTCATCTCCTGCTTTTCAATTCTTGCCTGTTTATAAATTCCATTTCATTTTAGATGTCACGACAAAAAAAGAAAGAAAAACAAAACATATTTATACACGTCGTGTTAAAAATTAATAATTTTTTTTTCTCCGTACCTGTTTTTGGTTAACAAACCAAAAGAAGATGAGAGTTATTTATATGGAGAAGGTAGTACACCATGTGTGTTAAAGATATTTTTGTTCAATCGATTGCCCGTCTTTCTTCAGACAACTCCCGTGTTTTTTATTTGCTGTCACCTTCCAGATTTGAGCAAATTCCTTTTCCGTTTGGATGCCGCTATGTTTAGTTTGCCATTGTTTTAGAAGCCGATCGTTAATTCGTCGTTCCCACCTGTCGACGAGCGCACACCCGTACGTATAATGATTAAGTTTGCACGTTTAATTAACACAGCAATCAATTTTCTTCACTTTGTATCTCTCACGATCACAACTTACCCATTCAAGCTGATCTCGCTGAACTCTGCACACATTTTTCAACATTCACTTTCTTTTTTTTTCTTCATTCAAATAATCGGCACACTTTAAGAATTTTAACTAACTTCTAATTCTCTTGGTGGAGGTAAATTGGTCTCGCTCGTACGCAGCATGCATGTACGCGCCTTGACAAAACAAAATTTCACTCTACGAAAGCATTGTATATTATATATTTATAAGTATAGATTATTCAGTAAGTTAGAATAGAGATTAAAATCCTAGTGCAAGAGATAGCGAGAGCATCACGTAGAGGCATTTAGGTTTCTTAGTTTCATCAGCAGGGAATGTCATTGTTAATTTTATCGATAGCTGATGCGATTTGGGTCCGGGAGAACGGGGCTACTGCAAGATTCAACCGGAAGTGTCATCGTCCAGGATGGTCATCAGGACGATAACATTCAGATGCAAAGTCTCAGTGAAGGTTCGTCGAAATACACACATATAGGTACTCTGAGATCATTACAATACATAACATGCTTGAACACATCTAATCAACTGAACAATTTTCAGCTGCTCCGGACGAGCAATCCGGAATCATCGAGCACATCATTATGGCTGTATACTCCATCTTTCAGCTGATAATCAACTCGTCCTACCTCGCTACGAATATCATAATGATGGTAAAAACCAACGAACCAATCTCTCGAGCTTCATTTTCTAAAGTTTCTTTCTCGCATGTCGCCAGACGTGGAGTATAATGTATCACAGTTGGACAACGTTCGCGCTGTTGTTGTGGGCCTTGGTTCTCTGGATGGTGCCCAACAAACGTGTCTCCATGATGAAGTGTTCACCTTTCATCGTTACCTACGCGATGCTCTTGCTTCTCGTTCAATACATCTATAGTATGGATCTGACGGAAGAAGAACTGCCGACGAAGATAAACGGGATAAGCGTGTCGGAGATTGGCTTCATCAAGGCTGACCAACTTAGTCGGTGGCATCTGGTCGTCAAAGTAAATACAATTACTGTTTATTTTGGCGATTGAAATGAAACACGTATTATAAATTGGGATGGACTTTTAACTGTCTGTCGCAGTGTCTGTTCATATCGATGTTCTGGATCACTCTGAGGCAATACACAGCCGAGAGAACTCGACAGAGACGTTCTTCAGCGTTGAGAGACATGGTAGCGCCGTTGCACGTCTCTGTCTCGACAGCTACCACGGCGATGAACCACGAAGCGCCAGAAATCAAAAGCAAATTCATGAAGGACGTTGGCATAGTCTTGAAGAAATTGTTGACCAAGTTCTGGATCGCTGTGGTCGCCATTATGCTGTTCGTCTCTGGCATCACTGGCGAACGTATGACCGTATTCAGGATCATTTACATGTCCCTCTTCTTGGTTCTAGTCATCACTTTCCAGGTGACTCGAGAATTGTCCAAGATCAGATTGTGTATCTGCAAATCTATTTCAAACTTTTGAATGAGATATTATTAAGACAGTCGATTTTATAATTCTTCGTGCGTTGTAGATATCCTGGACAGTGTGGAGGAAGATGATGTACTCGTTCTGGATCACAGTCATCGGTTACTCCGTGATCATGCTGATCCTCGTCTACACTTATCAATTCCACAATTTCCCGAAATATTGGAACTACCTCCATATTGACGAAGACTTGCAGAAAGATATCGGCTTAGAGAAATACGAGACCAAGGACTTGTTTGTTAGACTACTCACGCCGACGTTCTTCGTGATTATCACTGTCCTGCAGATTCATTACTTCCACAAAGACTTCTTGGAGGTGACCGATATCGAGAAATTCGGGTTAGTATGCGTTGTCTCCGGCGTAATTGTATATTTAGAAAAAAAACGAACGATTGAAAAATTATAGACCGGAAGAGATTCCCCGAGTCGAACGACCGAGCCTTGGACACTCGCCGATTTTAGCCATGCCAACGTTATCGCCAGGAGAAGTCTTTCTCGTTGAGGAAGATAAAACATCTGTATATTCTCTAAGACAGTTAAAACGTATGACAAATCCCACGTTTTCTTATAAACGTCAAAACACTAACAAGTGTGCCGATCGTGTAAATTTTCAAATGAAAACGAGACAAATTTTTCAGAAATGTCGAAGTTGAAACGACTGGCGTTGTTTCACAAGTTGGTAGAACACGTGTGGAACTTTTATAACTACACGTGGTTGTTCCTTGAAATTCACATGCAGAAGATCATTTTCGTTTCCGTGATGATTTTTTGTGTAAACGACGTGAGTTTTAATAATATATATATATATATATATATATATATATATATATATATATATATATATATATATATATATTCGATTGATCGGTATCCAAACGTTCAATTTTGTCTATTGTTTAAACGACATGGTTTCAGGTCTGCGCTATTAATTTCGTGTTCGTCTTGATAACAGTCATCATAATCAATTCTCGAAGTAACATTCAAATATGCACGGCGAACACGATCGCCGCTGTAATTGCTCTCCTGATGGTCGTGAAAATGCTGTATCAAATACAGTATATCGATCACAATAATTGGAACGTTAATTGCACGGTAATAATATAATTTTAAATTATAACGTGTAATTTTGCAACGTGCACTTTTTAAACAACGAGTTAATTAAAACTTTTGCGACACGGTCTCTCGTTCCCGATCTAAATTTTGTCACTTGTCGTTTGCAGAGAGTATCGCCTGAGAATCAAACTCAGTACGGCAGCAATAACACGATGTACAACATCGCGGAATGGTTTGGAATAAAGAAAGCAGAGCCGGGACAATTGGCAGAGTTGTTGAAAGGTTACATAGGGATCCTGGTGGTCACCACTCTTAGGAAAATCATCAGAATTCGACAGTGTTTCCATAGGAAAGTACACAGCGAACCTCTGGACACTCCTCAAATCATGTTCCCTTCGATCACCAGAGAAGATGCGGACAAGGGCGTGCCACAGTGCTTGAAGTTCCTCTTCAACTACGGTTTCTATAAGTTTGGCGTGGAAGTCTGCCTGGTAGGAATCGTGGCACTCATTGGAACCAGATTGGATTTCTATTCGGTTCTTTATAGCATATGGCTTCTGCTGTTCTTCCCTTTGAAGAGGAAAACCGTATCGAAAATTTGGCCATTCTTCAAGATCTTTGCTATAACTTTGATACCTGTCCAGTACTCGTTCGTCGTGGCTCCCCCAACTTGGTTCTGCATAGGTTGTTAAATATTTGCAGCGTTAATGTTTGAAGTAATTTCTATCTATGAGGACAGAGAGCGTAACTTGATCTTTGTTCTTTTCAGAGTATCCGTGGAGCGAATCGAAAACTCTGAGGGGATTGCAAGAATGGATGTACTTGCCTGATCCTGATTTCCCGCCGAATGCCAGGAAATTAATGTGTAAGGCTTGTAATCGAATATCGGGCGCCAATAGGCCGCGAATGTTCATCAAACAATAGAATCGAGTCAGAGATTAATAATTTAAATTATAAAATAAATAACAGTGCTTAAATTTTCCACGAGTCCACGAACATTCGCCGCCTGAACACGATTAATTTCACAACGACGACGAAACTTTTGAGCTGAATTCTAATCCAGGTGATTTTATTCTGCTGATGATGATCGTCAGACAAAGTCTCGTTTTCCAAATCGAAGAACGGAGCACGGCAAGTGGCAGGGAATTTCCAGCTGGTCACAATTATTCCGTTTACCAGAACATGGAGAAGCCAAACTTCGTGAACCCCGTGAAGGATTACGTGTCCCATATTCACTCTTGGCTGGACATAGTGAAACGAGGCGTATTAATAAGTCTCATGTGGATTACTTTGTCGATCATGTTTCTGGCTGGAACGGAGAGAACCAATCTGTTCTCGTTGGGCTACTTAATCGGCGCGTTTGTGTTTCTCTGGCAAGGAAGCGATTTTTACTTGAGACCAGTGAAGACGATCTTGAGATGGTGGAATTTTCTCATCGGTTACAACGTAACTGTCATATTCTTCAAGGCGTTGCTTCAAGGTGTAGGTTGCGTGCTGATAGATCAGGTAATCTTTCGTTCATTTCTTAGTTTTATTAGGAGTCTTGAACATTTGACACTGGAATTACATCGACAAATAAAGTACAAAATTTCTAGATATGGAAATAAAATGTAGAATAAATTTTTATTCACATATTTCGGAGAAAAAGATGTTAAGCTTGTAAAATTTCTAAAGAATCTAAAACGGGTAAAGGAAATTTCATAATTTACATGATCTATAGATCTATCTAAAATTTCTGGTGTATTTTACCCAATTTGATGGTTATAGTCTTGCTTGTATAAAAATGTACGGATTACGTGTGTCATAATTCTAAAAAATAAAATATCGAATTTCAGCTGCAACTGTTAACGTGTCCACTGATTCAGCTATTCGGCATAACTTGCCTGAGAAAGTTTCGAAGCGCGGTGGGTGACATAACTCTGGAAAAATTTGACTGCGAAGTGCCGCAGGAAGATATCGGCATGGTTTGGGACGGTCTGTGCTTCGGCTTCTTGTTATTCCAGAAACGACTGTTCAAGAGCTACTATTTCTTCCACATAGTGGACGAAACGAAAGCCATGAGTATCTTAGCGTCCAGAGGCGCGGAATTATTGGAGGAACTGCATCAGAAACGCATCGAGGTTCAGGAGAGCGTCGAGAAGAACGTACTGCAGAAGCTGAAATTCAAGATGGACAAGATCAAAGCTAACCAGAGGAAGATACAAGGACCTAGCTACAGAGAGCCGCAAATTCACGCAGTCGGTAAGTGTCACGTTCGACGTTTCTAACTACTTTCCTTTTTTCGTTTTTTTTTTCTTTTTTTTTCTAAATGTAGGATTAACAGGACGAAATGACATCATCGATGATTCAACTTTCTGTTCTTTTACTATGTCAATTTACGTGTATTCTGTACGAATTAATAAGAAGAGTACTTCCACCTTACTAACCTACGTACACTTTACAACATTTAACAAAAGATTTAATCTCAATGTTCCTCGCGTATTTAACACAGAGAAGCCTAATTAAGTCCAAACTTCAACATAGGATTTCATCTTGTCAATCCATCTACTATCCATATCCCACAGTCCTAGATCTAAACCTCAAACGAAGTATTCTTTCACTCTACCAACTCATGCGTATTCTACGATAATTACGATTTAAACCTGATACATAGGTACGTCTCTTCACAGTAGAGATTATTCGCTAAAGGCTAACGTCTTTGTATCTGATTCTCTATATCCGATGCACGCGAAAAAGAAGGGGCGGCGCCTTTGGCGAGGTCCTCCAGCGAGAGCTCGTGCGTCTCCTCCGGTCACACACCCCCTCAGGGTTATCAGACGCCGATCGACGAGGACGAGGACAAGCCACCCCCGTTGACGCCGCGGGCTGCGTCTCTCTTGCAGGCGCCCACGCCGAATTCCGCCGTGATGACAGTGAGCCTCGAGGGTTACCTCGAACCGACTCGTATTTCTTTCGGTTCCCCGCCGAGTAGCGAGTTGAATCCACGTGGACCGTCGCCCGACGAAACCTTCCCAGTGTTCTCACCGCCGCCGTACGACAGAGGGCCACGCGATCGATCGTTGACATCGTCGATCAGACATCGTCGACAGTCGAGCTTCGTCGGGCCGCCGTGGATGAACGGATTACAGACACCGAGACAGTCCATCGTCTCGATCACATCTCGCTCCCCGCGATCTCATCACACATGTAACGACACAAGAATCGGGAACAAGATCATTGTCGTCGATCTGCTACGATGTCCTGTACATACGCTTCCGTGACAGCACCACTAGATCATCCACGAAGCACCGATGTTTCTTTACGTTTCGTTACTTTCGGTGGTCCCCGAGGATTTTCATCAAGGGTACCTTCCGGTTTCGATTCCGTTTAACTTTTTTGTATCGAGTCAAAGTTGCAACGACGGAGTTTTTCTTGGTTCTTTCTTTTTTTTTTGGTAGATCTTTTGATACTGGTTTCGTTTTTTTTTTTTTTTAACGTGTAGATATTTAATCGATTCCTGCATCGGAAGACACTTTTCTTCGATCTTCGTTAGATGTCGTATTATATATGGATCTTGTTGGATGTACATAACTGTACGATTAGATCATACATGTTCCTTCGATTTCGATCCTGCTTTAACATTCTAACGTCTCTCCTTCTCACTCATCTCTCACAAGGGAGAAATATTAATGAAAATCCAGAAATCCGTTTAATTTCTCGACAGATTATCGATCTGATGCCGTGCCGATCAAGGACTTCAGGCCTGTTGGCGTATATGTAATATAAATTGTATATTCTTGTAAAGTAGACGTCTATCCTGCGCCAACACGACTTTCTCATCGTTTTCAGTTTTTTATCTATCTATACCTTTTTGTGTTTCTTCTTTGTGTTAGATACTCTGTATCCAGGGACACGGCCGTTGTACAGAGTTCGCGCGCCAAAGACCAACAGAGAGGGTAAATGAAAATTATCTTTCGGTTTTTCTTCTTCCGCAGCTTTTCCAGGCTTTGTCCTACCAAGTGACGCGTCCAAATTCCTGACTAACTGTCCTTCTGCTTTTACAGAACATCACGCTGTACATAGCCGTGTGCGTGTAATTTATTTCCAACCAAGTGTCGCGTCGCACGAACATTTAATATTGTATAGCGATCCAAAGATGGTGGTTGCATCTATGTATGTGTGTGTGTGTGCGCGCGCGTGTGTACCTCACGATCTGTGTCTGCGCGATCGTACTAACAATTTTTCTAATTCCAAATAGATGTTACACTGTTCTGATTAATTATTAGTCTGAGCCTTATGGAGTAACGTGTCTTCTTAAAGCATAACTATTCAGTTAAGTGAAATATCGTGCATGGCTTTACGTAGCATAAGTAACGGATCGTTGGACGTTTTCATACTTTTTGTTCTAAAGTAAATCTCTTTCTTTTCGGTCAGCCATCAGATCAGGCGACTACTACATGTTCGACGACTTGGACGACGACGACGTGACTGATTTGATCCCGGATACCGAGTCCGAGAAGCAAGAAGCGGAGAAACGCCGCGAGGTTGAGAAACGCGGCAGAAGAATGACCATCTCCGAGGTACGTCGACATCCTCTCAGCTCGCTGCCGAATGAAAATCACTCGCGACACGTTTTAAAAGGTTACGAATACGTATATCTCTCTGGTTTGTCTGCTATGAATCTCCGTTCTGAAGCAAACGTTTTGACTAATCGATGAGTGCTTGATTCACTTGAGAAATTCCGCGAAAACGACCCAGGCATCGATCCGACTTTTAATTTATCGCATCCTCAGCATTCGACTTTTGATTTCGTGTTTCAGTTAACTTTGTTAACTCGCTCATTCATTCGGTTAACTCAGTTAACTTCGCTCAGTTCGTTCGTTCCTTCGATCGAATCTGTCTGATGGATCATCGGATCATGGCCGCAGGTCGAACTTGAACACCCCGTGTGTGCATAAAATTCTTGCATTTACTCTATCGATCTACCACTAAATCCCCCCCCCCCCCTGCAATGATCACTAACCATCCCCTCGCCCCCTGCCAATTTTTCACAATTTTTCTGTAATCCTTGGCCCCGTCGCGTCGAGGAATCGTCAGACAGCAGACAAGAAGCACAGTACAACAAACAAAAGAAGGCAAGCCTGTATCGCGTGGAAAGAAATGACTCAAAAGTCTGGCCCCTTTGCAGTTGATGAACACGCTGCTTAAGACAGACATTGAGATCGCGACACACGTCGCCATGTACGGAGGGACTGAAAAGGACGCGCTGAGACTTCGTCGTCGGAGTGAACCTTTAACAAGGAAGAAATCGTCAATGTCGTATCTCAGTGCACGTTCCGAGACCGATACTGCAGTGGCCACCGATGTGAGATCCCCTTCAAAGGCTGCATGTCACTGCTACAGGCTCTTTTTCATTCTTTCTCTCTCTTTCTCTCTCTCTTTCTTTCTCTTTCACCTGCCCACCATTTCTTCCTTGCTCATTCTTTCTTACTATCTATTTCTCTTTCTGATTGATTTTTTTCTTCTCTCATCGTTTTAACCTTTCTGTTTAGTTCTTCCTTTTATTCTCCTCTCTTCTTTCTACTCTGTAATTATATCGTATTATCGTTGTTCTCTAATAAGTTGTCGATCACCAGCGTCTCCTCTTTTGATAGTTCATTATCTGTAAATAATCCTCAGCTTTCGTACATACATTCTTATTACGTCCTTGTTCTTTTCTTTTTTTTAAAATGTTTTTTTTTTTCTTTCCTTCGTCGTATTTTATTCATTAATTTCATCATTGTCGTCGGACTTCAAATACATTCGATATACATCTGCCGAATTATTTTGGAAATTCGTTAATAAGCCTATAACAGCTACGTTTTTTAACACGTTTAACAAGACACACAGCAAACCATGATTAGTAGCGATATTAATAAATTGTACATACAAATGTCTGTATATATAGTATACTGTATATTACGGCGCTTCGATATTAATTCTTCTTTTCTTTCCACATCTTACAGCTTTGTTGATGAAAAAAAAAAAAAAAAGAAAAAGATATACGACGGAGGCGGTGGCGTTTCACTTACGTCGACTCTCCTTTTTTTTTTTTTATTTTTTATGTCAATCCTTTTTAATGTTGTAGTCGCAGGAGGCTCCTCGTCGTCGGCATTATACATAATCTGCTGCTCGATACTTGGCTTAATTTGTTTTTCATTATGTTTACAGCGACTGTAGCACCGTAATCTCACGCTTTCAATATCTGTAACAATAATCTTTAACGATCGATCGCATACGCAGAATTTGAATCAGACAGAACGCCGTCGAACGACCTGCCAAACTTTTCTATTTAAATTAAAATAGTCTATCATGGTGTTGCATACATTTCGATTTTTACACTTTACGCGTAGCAGATATGTAAAGAACAATTTTTGATTTCTCAAAGTGGCATCGAATAACTTCGATCATCTATTAAATCATAATTTCAAAGACAAACTCTTGGGATTTCCTGGCAGTAGTAAATACAACGTTAAAAAAATAGAATTAAGAAGGTGTGATTTGACTACGAAAATTACAATACCGGAACACCGCGTCCTTGAAGTGGCACTGTGGCGTAGTTGTCTTCAAATTCCACGTACCAAAAGTTGTCCAAAGATGAAACGAAACCAATGATACAATTGACGATCTGTCAATTTAAATCAGGGCGGCGACAAAACGAGCCTCACGTCGGCGGACATAGAAACGGAGGAAAAGGACGCGTCTACGGCGGAACAGGATAAAACGCCAGAGCCAACGGACGACGAGTATGGAGAAGATAAAGAGGCAGACGAGAAGAAGACGGAGGAAGATGACCAAAAAGTATCGATCGCTACATACTTGAAATTCCTCATAGTGATGATCAACAGTACCCTCACGTCGATGACGAGATACCTGAACAGATTTTCCCGCGACTACAGATACATTCGCAAGGTTTTGACGAAAGAGAAGAAAGTACTGAAGGTACGTGGATCAAACGAGTTTGATTGAAAATTTTTTCCACGAAAAATCGAATTACACTTTCTGAATCTTTTTGACATTGATTTACAGGCGAAGCCGGATTTCCGGATGGGAATGCGACTAGGTATCAATCAAATGTGGCAGCCGATCCCTCTGATGAAAGGGTAAGATTTCCCATCATAAATGGAACTGTAACTAGAAGAAACTGTTCTCTTTCGGCTTTTTCGATCATTTGTTCTTAGACGCTTAATTATTGTACAAATATACAATGTCATAGAATAATTCAGAACCGCGACTTTGAGGAATCCCAAGAAGACATTTTTAAAGATTCGATATTGATTTCGAGTTGTAAATTCTTCGATGGTATCCGACGTCAACACTTTAGAGCTTTCAGTAGTATTGCGCTTGTCCCAAATACTTGCTTCTTCTTGTTAGAATTATTCAGATATTCTTCCGAGACAAAGTAGTTTATATTTGCCCCTGCTATCAGACCAGACGTTATAGTAGAAGCTAGAGTAGTAAATGTGCTCGCTCTGACAGATCGTCTAGCGGAAATACCGAGGAATCTTACGATGCCGGCGAGGGTCCTAGCCAATCACGGCCGCAGGAGCAGAGGTAAGACTTCGTAGAAAATGTTTTCTTTTCTCGTGGCGTAAAATAAATCTTGTCTAAATTAAATTCAATATTTATAATGTTCAAACGAAAGTTCTTCTCGTTCTTTCGACTTTACATAAATTCGATAAAAATTCCTGAGTCGCATTTACGTATTTGTTGTATCGTTAGTTTAGAAAAGTAATTCGAAGTAAACGTAGACAGAGAAAAGTGTTATTTTTACTAGGAAACGCAGCTCGTTGACGATCCCACATATCCGAATTTTGGCACCGAGTTTGGAGAGAGGATTGGATATGTCCTCCTCCAGGTATCGAGAAAGTACTTTGTCTAAATCGATAATTAATCCTTCACTTGATCGTTAGACACACACCTTCTGCACGTTGATCTTCGCAAGCAGCTTGTATATTATCGTTTCTTCTGCTCTCTTTATACTTTATTATACAGTATAAACGTAAATATTGTGATCTTTACGAATTTTTCGTTTAGTTCTATCTCACAGGTGTTCGAGCTTTCAGTGTGCTTTCTGTATCATAAGTGTTCTCGCAAAAGAAACAGAATACTATGTTTTCTTCTGCGAATTTGTTGTTGAATTGTATCGTGAAACTTTTGTGACTTAATTGACACAAATTTTTATTTGTATAGCGCACTCTTCTCCGAAATTTCGCCTGTCCAACACGAGGACGAAGGCGGTCAATTGTCTGAAGTCGATCAACCACCGATAATACAATTATTGGCTTCTATTTGGTTTGGAATCTTGGCGCATTCGTGTCTGCTCTGTTACTTCGTGGTGTTCCTTCATCAGATTAAAAACGCGTCTGTTCTTTCTACACCTCTGCCTCTCATGGTGTTCTGCTGGGGCTCGTTGACCATCCCACGACCGTCGAAAACGTTTTGGATAACGCTGATCGCGTACACCGAGGTAAAACATCATTGCTCAAATTGATTGGTAATTTTTTCTCGAAAGAAAAACTTCTTTGCTAACCAATGATAACCATTTCTTCCATCAGGCAATCGTGATAGTAAAATGCATTTTCCAATTGGAAGTGTTGCCCTGGAATCGAGAAGCTTCGCCGAATAATCCTTTATTTACACCTAGAATTATAGGGGTTGAACGCAAGCATAATTACGCCCTGTGGGATCTGCTATTGCTTCTCATGGTGTTCTTTCACAGGTAAATCGTGGCAAAAATTTCGCAAGAATTTCTCTTCTAGTTGTGTAGAAATTCAATAGAGATCTCATTTTTAGATTTATGCTCAAGTCATTAGGCCAGTGGACCTCTCCGACCCTGAAACCAAGGAAGATCATTCCTTCCACTTTGACTGTAGTTCCGTTAAAACTTCCACGGCCAGAAAATAGAGGTCAAGGGGAATCTACATCGCTGGAGGACGAGGAAGCGTACGTCGACGTCTTAATTTTCATTAATTTATACAATACTCTACAATACTCTAATATTAATATTTTATTATTTACAGCGTTGTGAAAACTCCCAGAGGAAGAACTTTGAGCCTGGCCGCAGGCCAAGGTGAAAGCGCGCAAGCCACGGACGAATATGAAAAATTAGTGGCGGTTCAAGGAGAGGAAGTCAGTCCCATGCAGGAAGAATTCAACAAAGCCATGAACATGACGTGAGCATGCGTGCACGCTTCGTTTGATTGTTTTCATAAGATTGACTCGAACGATGTAATTTATTTCCAGCGTTAAAAAATACAAGGAACCAGTGAAGAACTTCTTTGAAAAAATCCTCAGTCCTCACGGCAAAGAAAAGACGAACGTGTACGCCTACATGTTCCTCTGTGATTTCTTTAATTTCTTGCTGCTCATTTTCGGATTTTCCGCATTTGGAGTAAGTATTCTTCTATCTTCTGATGTCGTATATTTTCCTTTTTTTTTCTTTTTTAATAATTAAAGTTTGATAAAACTTTTTTTTATAAATTTTCAGACACAGCAGGGCGATGGTGGTGTAACAGCCTATTTGCAGGAAAATCGAGTTCCTATGCCGTTCTTACTCATGTTATTACTGCAATTTGCATTGATAGTTATCGATAGAGCCTTGTTCTTAAAGAAGTCAATCGTGGGCAAACTAATTTTCCATTACTTCCTTATATTCGGCGTTCACGTTTGGATGTTTTTCATTCTACCAAGTGTCACCGAACGGTACGATTGGTTCTTTCATTGTACAACTCCAACATTTGATGTCTTTTTGATTCAAATTGTCAAATCGAATTCAACAGACAATTCAACGAGAGGTTTCCACCGCAAATTTGGTACATGGTCAAGTGTTTCTATCTTTTACTAGCGGCTTATCAATTAAGACAAGGCTATCCGACACGAATACTTGGCAATTTCCTGTGCAAGAAATACAGTATCGTCAACTACGTCTTATTCAAAGGGTCGGGATATTTTCTATCCTTCAAACTTAAAGAAAAAAAGTTCTTGAAACATTTTATAATGCATTAATTTTACGAAATATTTATGAGAAAATTATCTACAGATTCATGTTAGTCCCATTCTTATTCGAATTAAGAGCGGTGATGGATTGGATCTGGACAGACACTTCCATGACAATAATGGACTGGTTCAAAATGGAAGACATTTTCGCAAATATCTATCAAATCAAGGTATACCGTCCCGTGCATTTTGCATAAATTTATATATAAATTACTAACAAAATACGAATTGCAGTGTATGCGAGGCGTAGAGTCGGATTTCCCTCAACCACGGGGCGTAAAGAAGCAGCAAATGAGCAAGTACTTGGTCGGCGGTGGTGCCCTGTTCTTCATGATCGGATTAATATGGTTCCCCTTGCTCTTATTTGCTCTTGGTGGCACAGTTGGTGTCTCTAATCTGCCCTACGACGTTTCAATGAGGATCCGAATCGGTCCTTACGAACCGATTTACTCTATGTCAGCGCAAAGTAGTTCCATCATTGAATACAACGAAGCCGAGTTCACGAGATTTTCGAATTTGTACGCGAGAGACAGACCTGCCGTCACGTTCTTGGAGAATTACATACACTCGGATGTCGCTGCTGTGAAATTGAGCGGGTTCTCTCGAAAATTGTGGAGTATATCTCCGCCAGATTTAGAAAGGTAAAGAAAATCTTTTCAATTCACAAGGAAATAAAATTTTTCTCACAACGTTAGAAGATTAGAAAACACAAAAATTCAAGGATTAATTCTCAAGTAATTTACAAATGTGACATCTGTGAATTGGTATAATTCTTTTATGGCAGACTGATAACAGAGTTAGAAGATAATAGCACAACCGTAGTCGTTCATGTGGAATGGACAGTGTCTCGAAAGACGGACGCGAAAGACGCCACTGGGATAACGACAAAGGTGCGAGACATAAAATTGCCACCGTATGAAAATAACGAATTTAATCCTGTGAGAAGAACGTTAGCTGATATGCTCTCTAGCAATGAGTCGACGGTGCATAACGGCACCATTATGTTGCAACATGCGTTCCCAAAGTTTTTGAAGGTGACTGGTCGAACCATTAATCTAGTACCGCAGTTGATGCGTATGCGTAAGTTTCACGAAAGAAAGAAGTCACCGAAGGAAGATAATGTCAGCGAACTCACGTGTGGAATTAATTTCCAGCAAGATGGCTTGACGACGATGTTGAGGAGGAGGACCACAATTATCTGTACAGGAACATTAGTCTTCATTTGTCTACAGACGCGGACTGTTGCGCTCGACAGAAATGGTGGATCGTAAAAGAAGTCTGCAACGACACTTTATACGATCAATTGTTAAAAAGAGTGCCGTTGAATAATTGCAAGTATATTATGATGTTCCTGTTCAACGATAAAACGTTCCCCGAAGGATTGAGCTTCATCAGTGGGTTTGGGTATGTCTTTGAAATTACTGAAACCTATGATGCAATTTGGGTTCAGCGTTAGAATTTAATTTTTTCCGTATATGTCTACAGAATCTTAGGTTTGTACACTACCGCGGTGATAGTGATTAGTCAAATGATGAGAAAGATAGTGAGTGACATGGCGCCAAAGATTATGTTCGACGACTTACCGTACGTCGATAGAATTCTAAGATTATGCTTAGATATTTATTTAGTCCGTGAGAGCGGAGAGCTGTGCCTCGAGGAGGATTTGTTCGCCAAATTAATATTCCTCTACAGATCGCCAGAGACGTTGATCAGGTTACTGTTACATTATACCACACATTACCATATATATGATATTAAATTACAAGAAGATAACGTAACAAGTAAATCGCTTTTTTCAGGTGGACAAGGCCTCCCGAAGAAGGGGAGAGGACTGATAACGAAGATCAAGATGATGCAGATGAGGATGCTGTTGCAGCAAGGGGAGAATCAAATGTTTAATTATTAAATATTTCTGAGAACAACATTAATTGAGACTATTGAGGCAATTTTCAAAGGGACTAGAATTAAGTTTGTCCTTTGGCCAACGACTTTTGTTGAATCAAAAACTTTAAAACAAATTTATTAATCATTCGAAACAGAATTTGTTAAGGAAAGAAATTTTTAGGATACCATCTTCCTAATGTAGTAATGTTGGATAATGGAGACAATAGTTGACTCACTTATGAAGAAGTGACACAAAAAACGGTCCAAAAAATTGGAGTAACTCAGGAATTCATTACAACCATATTTGTTAGAGAATTGATTGAAAGATTGTTCCTATCTTCGAATATGTATATTATAAAAAATAGGCAAATAACGCGAAGAGAAAGAGAAAAGAATATAAATCAAAATAGGAAAAATTAATGAGAAGACCTGAGAATTATACGATAGAATTATTTATTTTTCGCAATTGTACTTTTAATTAATTAATTTTACTAATCTTTATTTTAATATCTACCGGCAAAGAAACTCGAATTCCTTCATATTCAACGATATGAAAAGTATTGTGATTGTGAAGTGTCAGTGAGATGCTTTTGAAATAAGTGCATTATAGAATTAAGCGTCTACGAATAAGTGCTTTCTTTTTACTTCTTATTTATTAGATTTCATGCCTAAATTGAAGTATATTTTTAACGCATTTAAGATTGCATCATGGGTAAGAACACACCTCTCTTAAAATGTTAAAACCTCCGAAACTGCCGATTGCAAGATCTTTCGTTCATTTTTATACGTTTTTCTAATCGTCAATTCATTCAACTATAATCCATGAACAATTATCTGATCATTTTGCCAAATTTCGAGCGCATTTTATATATTACACATATGTAACGAAGATCTTGGCATCATTGATTGTAAATATACATTGTACCATGTGCATCTTTGTTCAGACATTGTATCATGTCGCCTTAATATGCCTTTTAAAAAGTATCTTCGAATACACGTAAATTGTTTCAAATGAGTATAATATGTCTTCATCCCAAGACTTATTTTCTACTTTCAAAATATATAAAAATCACACAAATTTAATTATAAAGTATTTTATTAAGCGTTTTCTTACTGACAAAAATTTACAATCTCTTTTTTTTCAGCTCAATAACTATATCCCCAAATCAACGCGGAATAAAATACATATGGAGCGCGCGCGTTAAATGAGGCACAAACTCTTTGAACTACATAACATATTTTTAATCTTTTATCACTTAAAAAAATATGAGTAAAAGTGTTACAAAATATGTGGTCTTGTTAATTTCAATATACGTGTTTATCTCTTCTTATTTGAGATACGCAACAATATGGAAAACATTCATATAGTTAAAACATTTGCAGAATCTTACTTATACCCTGATAATTAGCAGCCATTGGTATTAAAAGTAAAGTTGTAAAGTAAGCGTAACAAATGTGGCATTTCCAACTACTTTTATGACGTAAATACAATCATTACATTATGTACGATCATTTTACAACATACACGCAATAGCACAATTTTATGTAGTCTAATCGAACAGATACGTATATCTACAAGGAAAACGCGTGACAATATAAAAAAAATAGTGGTAAAACCCATTATTCTTACTACGTGACATGAATTAGATAAATTGATGACAGTCGATTATTCAACAGGGAAAATTATGAAGGAACATGAAGATTATTATGAATGATCTACAATCAGCCATACCAATCAAGAATCATATATTTATGTTTGTTGCAAACATGTGGAATATCTTTTTCAAAATTCAGCAGCATGTTTCTTGATATTTTTTACTTTATAGATTTTTCAAAATTGGTCATTTTATATTTTCATACAAAATATCAATAGCTGATAATCATCAAATCTCAACATGGAATGGATATCCCTTTATCAACAAATTCTAAGTACGTGCATAGTATTAGAACATTGTACACTTTTGCTATTGCTTGGATAATTCCTTGCATTTCAACTTTAGTGCAACGTTTTCCTGCTTCAGAAACTCATAGTCCTCCAACTTCTTTTGCAATTCTTCATTTTTCCTTTGTAGGAAAACAATATTCTCTTGTAATTTCTCATTCTGTTCAACTAGGCCTTTTACTCTGTTGGAATCTTTGCTAGGATGCATCTCATTGATTATATCATCTGTTTGACATAACAGATGTTTAATGAGATTTGCTTGAGAATTAAAGTGTAGTTCTTGCATTGCCCTTAGAATCTTTGTGCTCTCCTGCTTTGTATATATACTCACAATGTCTTTGATGGCATTGAGCAATGCAACTGGATCAGTTTCTTTGGATTCTACTTTTCTAACATCACAGGCTTTCGATTTTTCTTTAGCTTCCATTTGGGAAGTTCCCTCTTTTGGATAATCGGGTGGCCTGCTATTTTCCTTAGTAGACACATCTGGAGCTTGGGCATTTTCTTTATAACTTCCTGAACGCCTCATCCTATCTTTCGCAACTATTTTGCTATCAGAAATTTTCATTCTTGACTCCTTAATCTTTGCTTTAGCATCATCTTTGACTTCTTGCTCTTTCCCATTGCTTTTTACCTTATTTTCAATTGGCTTCAGCTTGCTATCAACAGGTTTCTCTTTCCTCTCAGTTATTTTTACTTTCATCTGTTGCTTCCTCGTATCTTGCTCAGACAGTTTTTTGAAGTCTTTTGTATTTGGTTCCTTAACACCGGACTGTTTTTCAATGTGTACATTTTCTCTCTTGCCTTGCAGCATGTGCACAGGGGAGGATGTTGCATTTCTTGATGTTACATGCCGGTCCACTGGATAAGTATTTACAGTTTTAACATCAGTAGGCACTAATTCTAAATCTTCTAGGAAAGAATCATTCATGTTTCCGTGGTTCCTCTTCAACGACAAATAAAACAATACTTTCGTATATATATAAATATAACAGTGCGTATAGGAACTTTTGTAAATTAATCACAAAAAATGTTTTTCAGGTTTTTCGATCACAGCGCAATTGGGAAAATAATACCACAAATTTTTGTAGACATTCATTACAAAATGTCAAAGACTTTGATACGATTTCGCACCATTTAATTGGAAGAAGCGTATAAGTTTACTTACAGTAGCACCATTGTTTAGAACGTGTATTCAGGTTTAAAAATAGTACGTTACCACATTAACCTTCAAATTGCAACGCACAAAGACAAGCCCAATTCAAATTAACTGTCAGCTGATGCTTCAACATTCCCAAACGCCATCTACAAGAACGTCAGTAAGTTGAACCAGTTCTTTCATGGTGCGAATATTGTTCAATTCATCATTCTTTATTCAATTTTAAAATAACTTGAAATAGAAAAAAATTCTTAAATATTTCTCTCAATTTTAATTCTACGTTTAATTAAAAAATACATTTAATTCAAAATTTCATAGAACTTTGACCTCGAATGAACGAATCACGTGATGATTATATCTATTATGTTGGTAACTTTATCCCGCCGGTATATAAAGATTTATTATCTATTGGAACACATTAATTACGTCTTGCTTTCCGTCGGACGTGGTTCAGAGTTGTGTAAAATATTATCTTTAGAATTGTTGTGATTGTAAAATACGATGGAGAAACTCGCGTTACTTTTACAAATATTACTCTTCATTTCAATCGCCAAAGGATTCACAAACATTTATCCTAAACCAAAGAATTATCCACTTCGAAATGAAGAAGACTGCGGTGCACCTCTTTTTCTAACACCTCTCATCGAAAGTGGTAAAATAGATGAAGCTCGCAATAAAGCCTCTGTACAACATAAAGAAATGGACGATATCAGCAGCTATGCCGGTTACTTAACTGTCAACAAACAGTACAATTCGAACATGTTCTTTTGGTTTTTCCCGGCCTTGGTGAGTAATTGTATACTTCGCACTTTGTTAATGAAAGATATTTAGACCTTTCAGTGAACGAGATTCTAATCACGCGCGTAACTTTGGAGTAACAAATAAAAATAAAAAGAAGTGTTGTAAGAAATGCAAAGTAGAATTCTTTTTTTTTAGCATAATCCAAAGACCGCTCCTGTGGTATTATGGCTACAGGGTGGTCCTGGTGCCACGTCCATGTATGGTTTATTCTTGGAAAATGGTCCGTTTATAGTTACTAAAAATAAAACTCTTGAAATGCGTGAATACTCTTGGAACAAGTGTCATAATTTGCTTTACATTGATAATCCAGTTGGTACTGGATTTAGTTTCACAGAGGATGAAAAAGGCTATGCTACCAATGAAACAAACGTGGGAAAGGATATACATACTGCGTTAGTTCAATTTTTCAAGTTATTCCCAGAGCTTCAAACAAATGACTTTTATGTCACTGGCGAGTCGTATGGAGGAAAATATGTACCAGCCGTATCTTATACTATTAAAAACTACAATATCAATGCACAAACAAAAATAAATTTAAAAGGTTTAGCAATTGGGAATGGATTTACTGATCCAGTGAATCAGTTGCTATATGGGGATTATTTGTATCAGATAGGCTTACTTGATGCAAATGGTAGAGATCAGTTTCGTAAATATGAAGAAAAGTGTAAAAATTTAATTGAACAAAAGAAATATATACAAGCCTTCTATTTGTTTGATGAACTTCTTGACTGTGATTTCAGTAAACAACCTTCGTTGTTTAACAATTTAACTGGTTTCAATTATTACTTTAACTTTTTGCATCCTCAAGAACCAAATAATGATTCCGATTATATGATACAATGGCTTCAAATGGCAGATATTAGAAAAGCCTTACATGTTGGCAATATAACTTTTAATGCTGAATCTAAGAAAGTAGAGGAATATTTGATAAGTGATGTTATGCAGTCTTTGGCTGGTCTTATAGAGGATCTTGTTCAACATTATAGAGTACTTATATACAATGGACAACTTGATATTATTGTGGCATATCCATTGACAGAAAAATATATTCAAAACTTAAAATGGTCTGGAGCAGAGAAGTACAAAACAACCCAAAGGAAAATATGGTACGTTGGAAATGAGTTGGCTGGATATTCAAAGACTGTTGATAATTTGACAGAAGTCCTAGTAAGAAATGCAGGACATTTAGTTCCTAGTGATCAGCCAAAATGGGCTCTTGATCTCATCACTCGTTTTACACACAATAAAAGTTTTTGAATACTTAATTATTTTGTTAAGACATGTAATAATCTACATCGAACTTATATTTACTATATAGGATTGTAAGTTATAAACTTAAATTAATGATACTTAATGAACCTGACATATACTCAAGATAATCTATTTTGTGTTGTAAGAAACAGTAAACATTTATTAACAAAAATGAATATATATATATTTATTATTTGAGCTGCATCAATAGATAATTCTTTCCTTAAAAATCACTTTTGTCAAAAATATATTATGCATTCGTCTTTGTATGGAAATTATTCCCGAGACATATATAATGAACTCTTGACGCTAAATGCCTTTGGAATTTTTTGCATGTCGTCTATAGTTACTATATTAATCTAAATATGGCAATAAAAAATCGTCGATTATTGATACATTTTTGTGCCACTCATTATGAGTGACATTTGAAACTGTGATAAGAACAAGTCTTTCACTTTCATTTAATGTCCTTAATCCAATTAAATCGTCCTTATAAATACTTCGATCGCGCATATCTATCACAGTTTCGTTAGCGTCGTAATATCCGAAATGGCTACTTTGCCATGGAGTAATAACGCCATCGTCAGGTCCTCCAACAAGCACCAAACGTTTCAACTTGGTGAGACCTTGTTTGAACGTCGGCATTTTCGTCGAGTTCTTTTCATTGTTCACGTATGGAAGGAAATTACTATACTTGTAATACAATTCCTGAAAAATTCAAGCGAAATATAGTTTACGAAAATATTAATGAATCGAATTTACTACTAACTTGATGATGAGGATCGTTCCAGTAATTTCCAACACTAGTGTGTTGGCCAATCTTCGAATAAAACAATTCATAGGCAGTTTCGCACACCAAATCGGGAAAAAATAAATGCAAAAATCGAGCTGCAAGAGAATATACTATTCGAAATGACAATTCCTTTGTCTGTGTATTTGTCAAAGATAGCACCGAAAGTCACTTACTCCCATATTGTCCAGCTTGTGGTGAGCTTAATGAAATGAAATTCCTGATGTTGTGATTAGGAAACCTCTGTAGTATCGCTCTAGCTAATAAACCACCTTGACTGTAACCGATTAAATTTATTCCTTCTGGAAATACAACACCTATGGACATAATATCCATTCCTATTTCTTCTACTTGATGCCACATCGACTCCAAACTACTCCATCCAGCATATCTTGGAATATTGTAAACCTGGGTTCCTGGATGCATCTAAAATAAATAATGTTTCTACGCCGAAAAATCATTTTTCCGTAAAATTATATTTACGCGCCAAGTTTATATGGACGCGACTCTTCTTTTCTTATTTGAATTACTTACTTCTTGGATTCTGTTACTGATAAGTTCCATACTGTCGCTTCCAGTAAGCACTCCATGGATAACGACCACGGCATGATAACCATCGACGTCATTATTAAGAAGAGTTAAAAGTAAAATGAAAATATTAAAACCTCTACAAGTGGCAGCCATCGACGTCAGACGAATGACGCTACTATGGAGATCCATCACATTATGCTTGCTTCAAGCTTATTTTCCATTGAAACGACGAGATTTCAAAGTAAACAGGAGAACTACATGGTCATAGTTTCTGATTGGTGCTGCCTTCCCTTTATCGTTGCCGCTCGGTCGTTCCGTTGAGACAGCGGCTTTACGATCGATTTCACAAGCGACGCAGTGCGACGTCTCTTGCAAGAAAGGAAGACCTTCCTTCCAATTGTGTTCTGTCGAAAACGAAGAAATTTCATTTATCGGCAATGATTTTGTGTTCTCAACTAAACAAAGAAACATAATTAATTTCTATATTCTAGCAGTTCGCAATCGATAAGAATTTTATCACTAAAAATTTCCTGTTTCTTGAGGAAACTGAATTTCTTTGTTTTGAAGAAACTCAAAATGAATGAACTACAAACGAGCGAAGTTTATTGTCATCACCGAATCATTATGGGATTGTAACAGCTAGTAATCAATTTTGATCGATAGACCGGAGTTAACGACAGCGAAAGGAATTCAATTGCATTCTGAAATAACGTGCCACAGAATGTGGTAGATCCCTAATCCTTTTGCAGCTGTATGAAAGGTTGCTGGGCACGTGGCATTTCCCGTGCTTCCACCATATATCACCGTGTCCTGACATCACCCCTAGTTGGCATACGAAACTCACGCCTTGGAGGATGAATGCTTGCCGCATTGTTTCGGCCAACGTCATTCTCGATTATCACGCTTTCACTTTGCGAAGAGACGTTTGTCACCATCGAAGAACGATGTTTGCAATTTCGGGAAGCGAATCTACCATCCTTCAGTGATCCTCTAATGCATTCATACGGATTTGCTAAGTTATATGCAGCAACATCGCGAGAAAAGCAATCCCGCAGCAACTTCAGAATATACAGATTTTTCTTCTTGAGATAGTACTCGATTACCACGAGAACATTCAAGCATTAAAATAACGAAGGGACAAATATCCCCTCTGCCTTAAGAAATTAGAACGTTATACATTTAACCGGCAGGAAGCGAACCATGCTTACGTATTTCTGATGTCGCACACTGGCGTTAATCGAGTCCCCAGAAGCTTTGAAACTACCAGCGTTTCTTTCTCTCGGCGAAAAGGAAACGAAATGAAGGGGAAAGAGAACGAGAAGAGAGGAAAGACGGCCAATCCAATTCCACGCTCAAACCCGACCATCGTGATGGCGGAGGGTGGCGAAAAAACGCAGCCACGCCAGGCGAGCGTAGGTCTCGGAGCTTTTTTGCGTTTAATCAAGGATATTCGCGGTCGGCTGACTCGCTATTTTAGTCCACCAAGTGCTAACCGAACCGCGCAACCACCAGCGACGACTATATCGCAGGAAGTGGATGAAGGAATCTTCGTCCTTTGACCTTTCAGGCGCGCTCCTATCTATCTTTTTATAATTCGACGCGCATTTTCTATTATTTCCCTCTTTTAGCATCTATAATATTGCGAGCGTATCTCGATATCTGTAGAATTAAAGAAAATGTCTTACTTGGAAATAAGTGACAAGGTTTCATGCAAGTTTAAACGTTCTTTAGAGAAGAATTAGTATTCTTTTCGCGTCTCGATAAGAGGATTACAGAAGTATTACGCGGGATATTGTTTAACGAAAATACGTTTAATTAGTTTATGATGCGAATTAGAAGCTGCGCCATTGCTGCAACGATAATTCACGCGCGCGTTCGTCTGCACGCGAAGGTAGTAATTCAGCTTCCGGTTTTGTAAATTCAAATGTACACAACGCACGGCGAACGAACAGCCACCAGTTAATATTTGCAAAAATATGCAGGGACCGCCGCACAGCGGTCGTGTTTTTCATTCTCGTGCTGTCTTTATTCAGTTACGAAGATGAAAAGAATCAACAAAATATAACGCTCCTCGCCTTCTCTCTACTTGGAGAGAGAGAGAGAGAGAGAAATGAAAGAAAACGTGCAAACGAACAAAATGTCAAGTCGAATGAGTGATTAAAAAGAACGGATGAAAATGTGCGATTAAAATCGTTCGATCTTTCGTCGCGTACCGTTCAATTTCCGAGACGAGCATTGTCTTTTTATCAATGGTCGGCAAGAGGAATCATGGATCCTCTTCATCCAAGAATCGACTCGAGAGCCTGTTTAAGGCCACCCTCCGGCTCAGTAAGTACAGAGGCGGGAGAGAAGACGAAGTGGGTGGTACAGTGCCGGAGGAACGGCCGGGAGATTAGCGTTAATTACAGAGTTGAGCCGTTCCGGGGTTGGGACGAGTGCGAGGTATTTGTCACTCGGCACCGCTCTCGACTCCTGTTCCTCGTTCTGAATATTAATAACCCCGCGCCATCCTTCTCGCCACCCCCTCCTCCGTTCCACCCTCTCCTCTTCATTTCACCTCTCGTTTCACGACATCCGATGAATTGCACGGCAGGCAACCGCTACTCATTATGCTGACTGCTTGATTTCATCACCGTCAGCCGCTACGAAAAATTAATCGCCCCGTGATCAGGGTGAACGAGGATCATCTCGTGCAGATTTTCAATCGATTTCTTTGATCTGTCGCTCGTCTACAGAGACAGATAACGAACGAAAATTTCCTTCTGTCTCGTCTTGTAGTAACGTATGCTTCCGGCCAAAGACAGTGCTCTCCTATTTTTCTTTCGCTCTGTCATGGCGTTTTCCAAAAATTGAAGGATGGTACCACCGGGTCGACAGGTTAGCCCCCTTCCACGTAAAACACGTCGATCAAATCAATCGATATCATCCTCTCTCGTCCTTTCTGCGGTCGGTCCCTCGATGGCGGTCCCATTGCCGCGCGAAACGTTCAGATATTCAAAGTCGGGGAATAGTTTATTCATGGCCGGCTCGGAGAACTTAGAAAGATATTGGAAGCGGCTCGGAAGAGGGTAAAAGATAGAAAAAGAGACGGGGGAAAAGGTGGAAAAACCGGGCAAAGGAGCGAGAGTAGCGAAGGGCGAGAAAGAGAGAGGAAATGATATTGGTCGGACGGAAGTGTCCCCTCGGGGAAACGAGAAAACGGGAGGAGCGTCGTCTCTCCCCCGATCCGATAAAGCGAAAGAGGGACCCCCTTGTGGCACGACCACCACTCCTACGCGTTGACCCACGTGACAGCAAGCCCGCCAATAAAATTCAAATAAACTCCGCTGTGCATACTAAATTATCACATCTTCCATTACCCGACCGCGTGCTCATCCCCGAACAGTTTCCTCCCGGTCTCGTGGAAACGTTTCAGCATCGTGTCGAAATTCCAATATTTTCGACTTTCAGCCAAGATGGGAGCCGCAAGCCTGTAATACGTCTTCCACGAGCAAGAGGTCGAAACGAGGATCGATTTCGAAACCGTTATAACCGATTTAATACCGTAGAAAATGCGTTAAGTCCGTCGCGGAGGACTTTATCGTTCACGCCGAGATATCCCGTTTAATTGATTGCTCGTCGACCAGAACTTAATCTGTTTTGTCGGTCTGGTCGATGGAAAACCGGCGAACTTAACGTTCGACAAAAGCCTTTTAAACATTCGATTGTACGGTGTGCGTTCGCGCTGCGGAATGTAACGCGCTATCGCGGTGTCATTAATCCGTTGTTGAATACTTGCCGAGAAAACGAGAATGACTCGTCCAAGAGGGTGTAGCACGACGCTGACGAAGGGACGGCGAGGTCAGGTGGCCTTTCCCAGGAACGCCCCAGATTTCAACATTACTCAAGCAGGATCAACCTGCCAGGAAGAAGGCCATTGTTCGCTTTTCCGCCGCTGAGTTTCCTTCCACATCCTCGGTGATTCGACCATTGAAACACATGACACTTTTCTTTTTCCCTCGAACACCGTGAAGAACACCGTCAGACACGTCGAATAAAAATGAAGAAAATTCCTCGAGATTTTTCCAAGTGTTGTGACACTTGAGAGACGCCTATGACTGGAAATTTTAATCCGTCGCGCGTCGCGAGCGAAACGTCGAACTTCTCGTCCATAAGGAAGTACATTATATATTCTTGTAATTTCCTAGATTTTTTTCCGCGAGAGGATAAACGCGTTAAACGCGCGCAGGAATTAACCAAACGAAGTTTCCGCTGTGTAAAACAATTAGTAGCTTTGCTGTGCCCCTGTTCTCCCTATCAGCTTGTCTACGCCCCGACTATTAGTATAATCGCTAGAGGCTACGACCCTTAGCTACCCTCGAGCGGCTCACTTTAATTCTTAGCAAGTTAGAGCCACCCCTTCTTCCCCATCCCAGCAACGATCTGTACAACTTTCCCGCTTTGTTCGATTTTCTCCTGTGCCTCTCGAATCAAGCGTTAAGCTGCATCAAGTGTATTTTGTTGCCTTTCAGCAGAGTCTTGATAGCGCGGAAAATTGTTGGCGCGTTTTATCCTCGTTACATTCTTCCTCCTTTCTCCGCTTTTTCTACTAATCGACTTTTTCCATTCCGGTTGTTATCAGAGATTTACTTCTCTATAGAAGTACCATCGAAACCATCAATCGTTACATTTCAACTCTTCGACTTATAATATCTTTTATTTTTATTTTTTTGGTACGAATTCTATGAATGTTTCTGTCTTCGATACTACTTGGTGTCGAGGAATCGTCTATCTCTTAGCCTTGATTTGTCCAGCGGTGTAATCATTTATTTCAATAAATGTTAAGATTCCAGAACACGTGTAAATATCGTAGTTTTTCGTAAGGCAATTAGAACGACAATTTTCCGTGGCGTTTCGTCTTTCGTCACATCGAGAACAAATGTACCGTTCAGCTGCGTATCTAATTGATTTCGGCCCCAGTATCGGGGCTGCGTCACGACCGCGCCGAGGGTGAATTTCGGACGTCGAACCACCCCTTTGCATTATGGATGCACCTGATTTCACACTTGTTCGTTCGCACTGGCAAACTCCTCCGCCCCCATAACGTCTCCATCGATATAAACGGGCCGCAATTTGCTGGCCCATTGTAAACCGCCCCTTTCGCCTCGATTCATGGGTAATAAATCCTGGTTCCGGGATATATGGCGAATTTATGTTTACGAATGCTGCCAGCGGAAGAGAAGGCACGAGACTATCACCTGCAATCTGTCGTAATCATCTGCGCGATATTTTTACGGACTTTTTCGATTGAATTTAAAGAGCAACTCGGAGAAGGAATTTAATTATTCGTAGGTATTGTACATGCCGTCAGAGATTTTTATGGAAGGTTGCAGATGAAAAGAGTCACATTTATTTCAAAATTATCTTTACATTCGATTTTTTGGAATTTATTTTAATTACGCATACTAACATATTAACCGAGTTAAACTAACTTGGTAGTAATTGAAGAAATTTTACTCGTTTCGTACGAAATATTGTAGAAGTATCATCTATTTTTTAAAAGGCCACAACGGATCTGTCATCTCTTTTTAATCATTAAGGGGCATAAAAATCAAAAACTCATTGAAATTGGACTTGTACTTTTTGCGTGTGTAATCATATTCAAATTTCTTCATATTTAAAAAATTTGTGACAGAGTACTTGTTACAATATCATACGTATTACATTTGTCGATAAAGGATGTTTATGATGATAATCACGATTCAAGGCGTTTGATTTAGCAATTACGTATCGTTTTGACCGTATTGTATTAACTGGACGTTCGAAATTGACCGTGTGACATGCACATAATCCACGCCACGTGTCATCAATGACGACAAGGCGTCGTTCTACAACCCTCGAATCTGTCCACGTCCTTTCCGTTGCCGCAAAATCCACTTTAATAACTGGTTAGATCATCTATTCGTTCGTTACTAATCATTCAATAGCAATTTGTCCAGTTACCGAGATTAGAAAGCGACTTGAAAGCGATGCTAATTCATTCCGTCCTCGCCGCTTTCTAATTTGAGATTCACCCTCCTCGACCCTATGGTTATTGCTCTATATTCGCTTTATATCAGCATAATGAACGTCTATCAGATCGCTCGAATTACTTGCGTTTGATTTTTTAAATTTAGTTTCGGAGCAATGTTTAACTGTTTTACACGTAAAATGTTGAGAAATGATGGAAGAATTATTTCTTAAAATTTACTTTGAAATTTATCTATTATCTTTTCGCCGCGAATGCCAGCCATTTATTCGTCAGCTTCAAAGATTTTAATTATCACACGAGTAAAGTGACTGAAATTGTTAAAGTTTGTTCGTCGAAATATTGAATATCGGGATAGAGACGAAAGTAGACGAGAGGAACACGAGGGCGGGGCAGAATTTAAAATATCTGTTTAAGATACTCTGGTCGAAATCTCTCAGGCAGACGAAGCCAAAGTGGAGCAAGACTTTGTATAGGCAGACAGGCGAAAACGGTAAAAAGGACATCGGCAGTCTAACATATGGCTGGCGAAATTGCCGGCGGGGTGGCGGTAACAATATTTACAGAAGGCTCGGCTGAACCCCTGGTGTTTTGTTAAGACTGCACACCGCACGTTGCCGCAGCCCCGGGGGCAAGGGTGTCACTTTACCCCGATAATCCCCCGTAATACTCTTTAGCGATCCACGTCGCGGAGTAATATTAAGTCCCTTACATCCAATTTCTATGGACTTACACCTTGTTCGCGGCGATTAGCATTTTGATTGCCACCGCCTCTGTCAAGTCTTTCTCTTGGCTTTGTCCCTCTCAGCTATATCAGTCACCTTTAAGATCCCACAAAGAAAGCGGACGAAGAAGCGGAATAATTCAAAACGTTTCACCCCCACCCGACACATGTATTCTTATTCCGTGAAAGATTTTACCACGGTCGTGTGTACAAACGTTGATCAACTAACATCCGGACGACAGGAATGAATTTTAGACGGATCTCTAATAATTTAAAGCACGACCACCTCCCTGACGAGGGGTGAACCAAGTACACGCGCGAACGTCCACTATGATCGACGAGTTTTTCGAATGTTACTCGTCGAAACGGCCGGGATTTTCGTTCGTGTCGCGGACGAGAGAATGCCCAGTGGAATCGCGTGTAATCGCCGTACGCGTTGCACGCGTGCACGGAAATTGGGGTCGCGTTCTATGTGTGACTCGCGAAACAGCCGACGAGCAGAGGGGGGTGGTGGTGCGCGTATTTGCTTTAGAGCTCGACAATCACGGGTCGAGGGTGGTTCGAGCTCGGCTAGACTGCGATCCGGATTACCGAGATCATAATCAGCCAATCACGCGGCACCAACCGTGCAGCCAAGGTGTCAAATGTCAACTCCTGCGGGACCCGGGATTGATTTCTTTTTTTCGTTGATCCGTTAGGGTTGATTTCGAGGCACCGGTATATTCGTCGACACTCGATTCTAATAAGATTCCGGCTGGTTCGAAAGGGAACGGATAGATTAAATTTGCCCCGGCACGTTTGAAACTGTCATCGTTCGAGAACGAGGAAGTTCGACCTTCCAGACTGGCGAGTGCATTAACTCTGCGGAAGCGAATGCGGAGACAAAGTGGCTTTGCGAGTTACCATTACAGCGCCGCAATACCGAGCGAGCCGAGAGTTGGTGGGCATAAAGGAAACATTCGTGCACCTGCGAAATCTCTATTTACGGAAATGCATCTTCCGCGGTGGGAACGGAAACTCGTTGTTGTTAATGTTGAATCCAGCTGTGAGTTTTCGAATTTTCATCCCTCGAGCATCAGGAAGAACTAATCGGGAGCAGAAGAGAAGAAGTAATTGTGATTTTTTAACGACAGATGTTAGTACCAAGATCGAAGAATTTTTTATCTTTATCATAATCGAATTGTCTTTCTACCAACAAAGAACAGGATCAAGAAAACTTCAAAGGATGTAAAGTTAAAACTACCAGTGCTATAAAAACGACTTGTAATTATTTATTACTTGCACTTTCGTCGTTCATGGTTCAAATGTTAATACCAAAAATTCTTCACCTTATATCATCCTGGTTCATCGCCACTTATTACCATCTCGCTGCTATTCATCATTCTATGGAAACAGGCAGCCACAGGTCAAATTCATCTCTCTCTCTCTCTCTCTCTCTTTCTCCAAGTTTCATCAAGATCAATGTGTCGTTCTATGCAGTTCGCTCGTAAACTTCCAATTAACACATAAAACTGTACCATCCCCTGTGCCAAGGGAGGATCTCTTCACAGGATTCATCGATCCAGATGCAGTTCTTTCTTTTTTTCTTCTGCCGAGACTCGTTCGTCCGGAAGATTCATCCGACGAACGAACCTCTCGCCGGAGGAAAGTACGCTTGAGATTTGCGTGAAGCGTGAATGGTAGAGGGCGTGGGAAACGGCGAACGCGGATAGTGTGGTGACTTGCGACCGGCTCCGGTAATTGTCGTAATTGTGCCGAGTGATTCACACATCAGGATCGGCGCGGTTGGTCCGCCCGTGGTTGCTTGCGTGTTCGCGGCGTCGCTCACATGATATTTCGCGCACGCACACGAGAGCCCGTGCAACGACGAGCGCGAGCGCATCTGCGCGGGATTTCGGAAACAATTGCCGACAATTCTCGCCACTTGACTCGCGGCCAGCGATTGACGTGAGAATCCGCTTAGACGGCCGTACAAACTCCATTGCGGAGAGTATGAGGTCATCTTCATTAAATCGTTCTCCGCTTAATGACTGATCTAATTTTTTCTTTCTTTCCTCCCTCTGCGCCAGTGGCGAGCACAAGAATGGACGACCGGAGAGAGAGAGAGAAAGAGAGAGTACTATGCTCACCTTTTTTTTTTCTCCTCTCTTATCTTCGAGGAACA